ATGTATGTATGTATGTCGGAGGGGTGGTGGAATTGTCTTCCACCACGGCACTTAGGCCTTATTAGGCCCCTTGTACACCCTCCTTCATTACTCGAGTACTTTTCTTCAAACCATCTTATTTACTACACGGATGGCTTGGTGGCAAAGTCTCGTACAATTTATGTATGATAGCATGGTCTTGAGTTACAGAGATTTCGTTCTCTGTTCTCATTACCATTTATCGGGGACCACACACGTGCGGCAAATGTTGGGCGACCCAGGTCTCTTGGTAGGCTGCCACAGCCACGTCCCCGAGCCTGCCTTAGATCACCCATCCAAATTCCAGCCCACGTCCGTGATGCTTGACTCGGCAGATCGAAATCCGCCGGCCAAGACACCCGGCTAGGCGGTCCCCCTAAACACCCCATTGCTCACACATTATTTTATTTTATGGCAATATCATGAAAGGTGGCAAACACCTCTTCATATGTAGAAACATTAAAATTTTCAACTGTTCATAAAAATTGTGAAATTTGATAACAATAATAATAAAACAACACATATTTCGAAATATTACGAGGCATATCTACAAAGTAAGAGTAGCGAGACTCTGATGCTCTGTGGTTTTTGTTTTCGACAAAGTTGACAACACTGCATTCAAGGCCAAAGCAGAATGCACTCTCATTTGTCTCAATCAGTTGAGAACTGCTGTTGTAGTGGTGTGTTGAACTGAGTGCCGCCAGAGGATCAATTTTATGGTAACCGTCCGAAAAAGGATTCTCCACATAGACTTTTTGCCCCAGGGGGAAACAATTAACGTTGCACGGTACTGTGAAAGCTTGACATTGAACGTTCAGGATAGTCAACGCCACAAAGCAACTCTTGGATTCATTCGGTTGAAACATGAACCACCCCGCTCACAGCCCTGATCTGTCACCTTCTGATTTTCATCTTTTCTCTGAAGGTGTTTATGGGTGGAAAAAGGTTTTTTTACCCATGTTCAAGTCTACAGTGCCGTGAAACAATGGGTCCAAGAGGTGGCGGGAGATTTTTGTGACAAACGTATCACCAAATGCATTGAGGCTGAAGGTGGCTACGTCGAAAAATAGCGTTTGATGTACCTTTCTGAATATGTAAATTTTTCATAAATATACTGCTTTCCATTTTTAAAAAATTGAATGCTCTTTATTGTGGATATGCCTCGTATTACATAGCATTAAATGATGTTATTTTTCGGAAATGGATACCGTCAACTTGAAACAATCTCTTTAAAAGAGTTTCTACTGAATTTTTATATTAATTTGTTTAATTTTTTGAAAAACCGCTTTAGAACTTTGGTAATTTTTGTTTTGCAGATGTAGTATGTTTCCAATTTAAAAAAAAAAGTAGTTTAATAGAAAAGTTGTGGCTAAATATAAAATAACGAGGTTATGTAACTTCTTTAAAGTTCGAAAAAATGTCACTGCCATTATTTTTACGAGTGAATCAAACCTTCAATTTTTTGCTCATAGTTTCCAATAATTTAATTTTTTGCAGAAGCTCTCATTAACAATCAATTCACTATGTGGAACTATAATAGAATAGAATCAGTATTTTTAAATTTTCGTAGACTTAAAAGTTTGTCGATTAGCAACAAAAGAATAACTTTTTAAATACATTTTCTTCTTTAGTCATAGCTTCCTTGTTACAAGTTTTAGAAAGTAGTTTTTAAAAATTAGCTAAGTTTTCAGTTAGACGAATATAATTTGAATTTCACTTCTCAAGCTTGTCCCTAGATTGACCAAGTACCGCAATCGCTTTTCCCATTTTGCCTCAAAATGGTGACAAATTTCCTTTGTGTTTGGCGTTTTCGAATATGTATTTTTGATTTAAGTTTTCAATTATTTTTAGATAAACTGTTCAAAATTATGTCATATATCGACTGATAAGAAAAATTGCTCGCTAGCATATAATAAAAGTTATCGGAATTTGCCTCAAATTGGCAGGTGATCGCGATATGTCATTTACTGCATCTGATTGTTCGCCTTTGCCCCAAGATGGCAGTTAGCATATGTCAGTGTGTGTTGCTTGTACCAAAAGAAATTATCAAAATTTTATTTGTTGTATTTTACATAAAAATTTGAAATGTACTGAAAATTCAAACTTATATTTCAATATTGGCAATCGAGATTTTGCCCAAAAATGACAGTGGCGGTTTGGTATTCAGAAAACTGTCAGAACTTAATTATTGTAGTTTTTAGATGAAAATATAGGGTGATTGTATAACAAATTCTTGAAAATAACGAGCGTTCAAATAAAAACGTGGTCGAAGTTGGCTCTGACACATTGGACGTAGGGAGTAGCTTATAGCGACCAACTTAACCTCATTTCTCAACGAGCTGTATAGCAGCTGTCAGTTTCAATAACGTTAATGACTATATAACTTTATTTTAAAGAATAATCGTGATAACAATAACAAACAATTAAAGGAGCTGCGGAAAGTGTCCCCCTCCTTGTTATAACAATAAATTAAAGCAGCTGCTGAAAGTGTCCCCCTCCTTGTTCCAAGCACTTTTCACACCTGTTCCTCAAAGAATTAAAGACATTTTCTAAGATGCTCGGGGTATTGTTAATTTCACGAATCTTGTCTATAAGTCGAGCCTGCAGATGGTTTAAATCAGGAATAGGCAGTTCAAAAATAGTGTTTTTAAGGTAAGGCCACAAAAAGAAATCACACGGCGTAATATCACATGACCTCGGTGGAAATTCATGTTCAGCATTGAGACTTATTAGTCGATTTTGGAAAACTTCCCTCAACATATTCATCGTCTCGCCTGCCGTATGTGCCCTTGCGCCATCTTGTTGAAAGTAAAAGTTTGTAATTTCGTTTTCTTCCAGCTGGTTAACAAAAGGAGCGATAATTTCTTCTCTATACCTTTGCGCAGTAAGAGTACCATTAAAAAAAATAGGTCCATAAATCCTCCTTCGATTGAGAGCACACCAAACTCCAATTTTTTGAGCGTGTAGAGGGCCCTCGACAAAAAAGTTATCTGGTTTTTCAGAAGACCACATTCTCATATTCTGTGAGTTTACGTAACCACTTAAATGAAACCAGGCTTCATCAGAAAAAAAGGTGATATTATGAAGTTCACCGTAGTTGTTTAAAAACCATTCACAAAATACAGCCCGTCGCGGAAAATCAACTTCATGAAGTTCTTGCTGACAAGTTAAACGATAGGAGAACAAACGCAAATCTTTTTTTAACACTGTGTGGCAGGTACCGACTGATACTCCCACCATTTGTGATAAAACACGTACAGAAGTTCTTGGCGCATTTTCCATTATTTGTTGGACATTTTCTTTTAATTCTTCAGTCCGCTTTTTAGGTCGGCCGCTTCCTTCTTTTCTTGTTACACTGCCCGTTTCACGAAAAACATTAACACAACGCTGAACTGCACTTTGAAAAATTTTGTACTCAACAACGCCGGGAAATTGATTTTGAAATTCTATGAAACATTCCTCAATAGAATACTTCCATATTCCATCAATCTTGCGTCCATTTCTAAAGTAGGACTCTAAGATAAACACTTTTTGTTCTTGAGAAAACACCATTTTAAACGCTTTTTAAAACGAAAATATTCAAATTGATAGCGGCGATATAGCCCTTTGACAGATGACGTTTAAGTTCATTTGCTATACGCTACGCCCTACGTCCAAATTTTCAGAACCAACTTGACCACGTTTTTATTTGAACGCTCGTTATATGAAAATGTAATTATTGTATAAAACTTTTGTTCATGGGCGTAGTTAGGATTTGCAAGCTCTATGGAGGACTAAAAAAAAAAACTTACACAACCAGCGACTTACTGATGTAAAATGCCAAAACCTAAACACTCTTTCGTTTGATTCTAAAAGGCCACACAGTGAGTGATTTACTGATATGATATGATGATATTGGATCTTTTTTTGAGAATAGATGAAGCATATTATTTATTGATTGACTAAAAAGAAAAAAAAGCGACGCAGGCAAAAATTTTCAAATTTTCAAGGTCTAACGGCTTTAAATGAATCTGGAAATTTTTAGTTGCATTTGCAATATTTCCAAAAAAATGATGTTCGTGAGAAGGATTTTCATTTAGATTTTATAAAAAATAGAAATATTAGTTCGGCTTGTGGACTTCTGCGAACATTAACGCACAGCATACATGTATGTTCCAGAGAAGCTTTGTGGTTACGATAGCCTCGCATGACTTTCCCAAAATTGTTAAGTCCACCCTTATTCCACACACCCGACTTTATGTGGGTTAAACACGGCATACAGAAAAGTTTTTTTTAAATAAACACTTCCACACAACCACTTATACTCCGAATACCATTCATTCCGAAACTTTCGAACGTACACGTTGTCTTTTGACTTCCCCTTTTTTCCATATCGAGAGAATAAGGCACAGGTCTCTCACAATTTAAAAAATCCTTTTTGTCCTCAATTTTCCACCTGAAAAATGGCGTTTCCGATAAAATACATACTGGATAGGAAACATATATACAATTATTATACAAAACAAATATTAACTAAGAACAGTTATAATCATGCACTGGGCAACGCGTATCGTATAAACTGTTTAAAGGCAGGCGATGCCTTGATGCCGATGGCCACCTCGTTGCCATGACAACCGCGTAAACAACGCTTTGAAAAGAAGCGGAATTCAGACTGTTTTGATCTGCATCTCTTGCATATACTAAACATTGTACGGTACGAGGTTGATGTTCGCACTCAATGAAGGCAATGTTTTTTTAGAAGACGTTCACCGCGCAACTGTTCTGTTTATTTCTGCGTATTAAACAAACAAACCCAATACATTTTCAATATAGAATTATACCTAAATTATAAAATTTATATAAAATTACACTGGCCACTGGCATACACTTGCCCCCCTAGCTACGCCCATGCTTATGTTTTAAGATTGGCACTAGAGATTTTTAATTGTGGTAAGTACTTGGTAATACTTTAACAATTTCTAAGGATTTTAATCATCTCTAAAGGCTATAGATTGACTAAGTACCATAGCCGACTGTTTTCCAGTGTTTTCATTTAAAATGTACAAAGTGAAAATATATTTCTTGCATTCAATTAAAATATATTGAAAATTCAATCTCATATTTCAAGGTTAGCAATATGGATTTTGCCCTAAAATGATGATTGATTGCGATACTTTGTCATCTTTTAGTAAAATTGTTTATCGTCGATATGTAGTACAGCTTATAAAAGCGATAGCGATCGATACGAAAACTCAAAGTTACTTTATACAATTGACCTGATGGTCAATCTAAAGGGCAATAAATTGCAGAATTGTTCATTTAGTTTTCTTTGCATAGCATGGCTGATCTAATTAATTTATTACTAAAAATAGTTTTTACCTTTTTTTTTCAATTATTTTCCTTTAAAACTCCCTTTATTAGACTATTTTTACTTCTATTATTTCTACTTGTTAACTCAATTAGTGTGAAGGTGATACTAATAATTATTCGATATCAATTGGAAAATTGTTTTATTATTTTAGATTGACTTGACCAATAGAACTGACAGTCGAAGCACATTAATTCCATCAGAGATGGCACCATCAACTCCATTCAGGACATTTCTTTACGGTATTCCCACAATTTTAATTACCAGCCCAAGAACGCCCAGAGATAAAACTCCTACAAATTTAAAACTTGGGTGAAAAAAAACTCGCTCAGTACAAAAACTTTAACTCTTATTTTAAATTATTTTTTTATATTTTATATTTTTACTTAACTATGTCATAAAGTGTTAGTATTATTTTTTATATTTTGACAGTTTTTGCTGTATTGTAACTTAAATTGTAAATATTTATATGAATTAGTTGTAATCTGTTAATTCTTTATTATAAATAATTATTATGTATATTTCCTTTTATTAGTTACTTATTTTGTTATTCAGATTGCAGTATTTTATGTGTATAAGGCGCGCAAAAAGGTTTTACTTAATGTATTAATATTTTCTATGTTGTGCAATAAAGAAATTGTGATAATTAATTTTTTTTTTCTATAATTAAAGTGGTGATCCTCCTTATCCATAGTATGTACACAGCATATGTAAATCAACAGATTCACTCCGTTGTCAGCACATATTATCTTCGCCATGTTTTTTTACTAAATTAAAAATTGTTTCAGGATGAACTTGTGCAGAAAATACGATTACGTATTTATTTATATTCTTAGAGAATCCGTAGAAACTTACTACTGTAAGAAATACTTGTTCATGTAAAAGCTGTACGACTTCGCAAATGCACCGTTTTCAACCATTCTGAATTTTATCTAGCACAATTTCCGAACTGAAAAATTTATAAATACGTCTCTAAATGATGTCATGTTTTCATACCCCTTGTAAAACAGTAAAATAATTAATGACGACTATTATTTTCATTTTGTAATTACCTCTGGCTGCTATNCCAAACCCTAGATAAAAACTCAAACCGCATTAACTGAAGCTTTTTTGTCGTATCTGCCAGTAGCTGGTATTTTACTAATATCCATGTCATGTGATATGAATTTATTCCGTTATCCCGTCATTTCATCTCAAGAAAACTGTATTTTCAAATGGATCATTTAACTATTGAACATAAGATGGCGCAGTATCGAAAGTGTAAAATTGAACGTGAACGATTAAATATCAAGTTTACATACATATGGCTCCTCCTTGTAACGAATTCGAGAACTAAAATTTGATCAACTATTCGGCCATAAGAAATATAATACTATATTTACTTATACAATGGTTCTATTCATTCATCTAGAGACTTCTATTTCTATAATCTATATACGAAATCCAATCTCTACATAAAATTGTCCATGAATTTGAACAAATGAAGCAAGAAGAAGAAGAATAATATAAATCTATGTTTTGTGTTCTGTGGTACTATGAGGAATGAGGATGATTGTTTATGATGTTTTTTAAGGTTATCTCAAGTTTTAATTTTAATTGCCAATTCAGAATATAAAATAGATTTGTATTTTTTATATATACACATATTTAATTGTAAAAAAATATATGATATATGATTTATATTCTGTTGAAGTGAATAACCGGGTCTCGTAGGGTATGAACACAATTGTTTAGGTTACAATGCAAAACTAAAAAAATGCAAATTTATAAGAATGTTATTACAAAAAATCTGTTCAAGCAATATAAAATATACGATATTTGTCAAAAAGTGTACTGGAATAATTTACAGACATGTGGAATAACAACTGTAAATTTTGCACATCCTTTTTATAGTCCTTCCTGTAAAATAGGTCGTTTAATCAGCAATCAAAAAGTTTACTGTACTTCTTCAGATCAAGAGAAAAACTTTGCAAAACATAAAGAACATGTAGCCAATGAATTTAGAATATATTTTAAACAAAATAAAGACAAACTGAGAGATACGGAGCAAAGACTAAAAGAAAAAAGGCAAGCCTTAATTCAAGACATTAAGCAAACGAGAAACAAGGTGAAAGAAAAAGTTGAAGGAATTATAGAGGTAAGGACAATATTGCTTTCATTTAAGAAATACTCATTGTTATAATTTCAGAGAGAAAATATTTATACAATACCAAATTTGCTGTGTGTTGCCAGGATTATACTATCACCTTATTTGGGACTATTGATAGTGCAATCAGAATTTGACTTTGCTTTAGCTGTTTTGGGAGTTGCTGCTGTGACAGACTTGGTATGACAATATTATTGATGAAATATCATAGTTGTTATTGAGCAGATCAGAACATCATAATACTTATTTCTATAGTTAGACGGTTGGATAGCTAGAACATGGGAAAGCCAGTCATCAAATTTGGGAAGTTTTTTAGACCCAATGGCAGATAAAGTACTTATCGCATCCTTATTTTTGAGCTTAACATATGCCGATTTAATTCCGATAGCTCTAACGGGTATGATAATTGCCAGAGATGTTATATTAGTTGCAGCAGGATTTGTAATTCGGTACAAATCTCTACCACCTCCGGTAAGTACCCGTTTTGTTTGTTTTGATTACTTTCTAATTTACTGTTTTACAATTTATGCCAAGCCAAATGAGTATATGAATTTTAAGATAAAAGAATATATATATATGTATTACATTTAATTTTAGCTAGTGACCTTTTGAAATAACTGTATATTTTCATGTTTTTAGCGAACTTTCAGTAGGTATTTTGATGTCAGTCATGCAACTGCGCAGCTAGCTCCGACGTTTATTAGTAAAGTTAATACTGGAGTACAGTTATTGCTGGTTGGTTCTACATTAGCAGCGCCCGTCTTCCATTATGTAGGTCATCCCGTTTTAGAATACTTATGGTAGGTACTCTGTTGGGGTAGCTCATTGAAAAATCGTCTATTTTATAAATATATTTCTTTAATTTTTTTTTTTAACGGAACATATCCACATTTGTAAAAAAATTGTAGTAAGAATAATATTTTCTATATAATGTTTAATAAATGTCAGTTTATTTTCTGAAATATCTTGAAATTAAATAATTTTACTGAAATTTTCAGGTATATAACAGGTGTGACAACAGTAGCTGCAGGCTTGAGTTACATACTATCAAAGAATACTTATAAGATATTAACTAAATCAAGCTCAAAAAAATAACTTTTTCATATTGAAAATTTGTGTAAATATTTTGACAAATTAAAAACATATATTGTTACATTGTTTTATTTTATAGAAATCACAAGTAAAATTATAAAAAATCAAGATCGTAGTAAAGTTACTGAAATTAAAAAAATATACATATATAATCTAATGTTATCGAAGGTCTCGTAAAAATCTGTATAAACTATAGTTGCTGGTCTAGTTCAGCGGTCATCAAACTTTTACGACTTGCGGAATCCCGCCAACATTTCGATTATTTTGAGGAACCCCCACACCTAAAAAAAATTGTTGAACACTGATTAATATATTTATAAATACTACAAGTAACAAAATAAATATTCCACTAAGTAGAAATTAAAGTAAGATTAAAGTTTAAAGTGAATATTTATTGAGTAAGATTAAAAAAAGAGTAAATATAATCAGACTGGGTGCTATTGTCCTAAGTTGCAATCGCATTCAAATTCTTCATTAAGCGCATTGCGATTCTTTGTTTTTGTCGCTACATACTTGGAAAATGATTTTTCGTCAGATACGTAGTTACAAAAGGCATTAATTTTATTGCCTGGTCAGCAATTTCAGGATCTTCCTTATAAATCTCGAGCCAAAAATCGAGGGAAAGGTAGACAGTCTGGTCTGCCGAGGATGAGATGAACATTACATGAGTAGTACCAGAAAAAATAACAGCCCTTTTAAGCCTTGGCAAAAGTGTGTGATATTCCCCTTCGTCATACCGTGAAGTAGAATTGTCATGCAGCCATATTTTTCGCTTTTTTCTTGCTTCCTGCAATCTTTCTTTTTCCTCACACAGCAAAGACACTATTATAACGTCCTCGTCAATGTCAACCATCTTACTCAAAAGGCACCTGGTTGAACAAAAATGTTGCATAATGTCACGTCGCAGCAGTTCAAATGCGACACCCCCTAAAATATTTTGTTGCGTCGCGTCGCTCGGCTGCAGTGCAGTTCCGCCTAGTGCGGTCTTACCTTTATAGTACCTTATATGCGTGTACTTATAAAAATAAAAAGTTTTAAGAGTATAACTTTTTTGAATATTGCAAGTATCAATAATAAAATTTTAAATTTTCGACAGAGTGGCGGTACCCCAGGGTTTCGCAGAACACAGTTTGAATACCGCTGGTCTAGTTTAAAAAAATGAAAGATCGGTCTTAATGGCTCTAAAAATACAAACTGGCATACACTATCATAATTTTTTCATCTCGATATTTTTGTATTTTGTCTAAAAGCTAAACAAAAATCAAGTTATGTATTGTTAGATTCAGGAAAAAATTATCTACAACAATCCGTTTAAATAAAATTAAGTCACCCGTCATTAAGGTTGGCAGTGGAAAAAAGATGTTCTGATTTTTTTTTTAAATCGGACAAGAAATGCAGTGTGTTCGTGCACCGTTCGAGACAAATATTAAAATAAAGTATTCTAGAATGCATTATTTTCAAGGTAACTAATAAAATAAATATTAGACCACGTCTAAGTAATTGGTGCTAAAGTGTCGAAACCCTTATTTTTGATTTAAAAAAAAAACAGTTTTTTTAAATAACCACCTTATCTACGAATGAAATAAAGTATTGGCAACCAGACTTCCTTCTACTGTTTTTTGTAACTTGAAATAAACCGCATATTTTCATTAATTTTGAACACCCTGTATTTGAAAAATGAAGGGGGTTGTTATTCACATGTTCGTAGGAAATTTTCAATTGACTGGTCATGTAGAATTTGCCATTAAACTTTTACCAAGTATTTTAGAAATACTCTATTACGTATTTGTATTGTATTTGTAGTCATTCAAAGTTCTATCAGATTTTAAATTTTTACGGTTTTACACTAAAAAATAAAATAATCTAATCAATTTTCACCATACTTCAATCATACTCCATGTTAAAAAAGGAAAATAAAACAAAAGTATTCTTATTAAAATTTACTTACGATTAAAGAAATAGACTTCAAAAATATATAATTTTTAAAAATACAGTACACAGATATGTTAAACTTAAACGGAGTGTTTTCTACATAATTTAGAGCTATTTAAAATTGAACGGTAAATTTTCTAACAAAATCCATTTTTGTAGTTTTAATAAATATTTCTATAACACAAGAATACTCATAAAAAGTGATGCTGCATATAAATTTTATTGCTGTATATGTTCTCTTAAGTCTTAAATTTTAATAGGTATAGTGACCGCAAAATCCGCCCGTTTTTGCGTAGTGTGTAGCAAGAACGGGGAAGGTTGTACAGAGGTCTGTGGGCTTAAATTGATCATCATGAAAAATCTAGGTGAGCATAATTCGATTTTTCCCATATTTGCCCAACTTACCCCTACTTAAGGGGTGGAAACCACCCCTAAAACAAGAAAAATGAGAAAATAGTCGATAAATTCTTGGTAAAATTGGGGGAATTTCACATGGCAAGGGTAAAATCAGGAATGTACTTCTAAAAATGCTCATGATAAACCCACCCCCCGCGTGGGGGTAAAACAAAAGATCGAATTATGGGGCCCATCTTTCGTATCATTTGTCGGGTAGTGGGGGAAACAAAGTACTTCATGAAGTGGATATCATTCCCCGTCTGCTATCGGCAATAATAATAATAATAACACAACTTTATTTCAAAATAACAGTGCAATGTACAAAACAGTAGTGTAGTTTACACCATCAGATGAAATAGTAGTCAAAAATATAACAATAACAGAACAAAACAAAGAAAACATAGATGAATGATCAATGAAACAGTACTGTTAAAGCAAACATTAATTTTGTAAATATTCATTTAAACTGTATGGTTCCAAATTTAATAACATTTTGTGTATATATTTTTTGTACCGGGATAAACTCTGGATATTTTTCACCTCTTGAGGGAGTTTATTATAGAATTTTATGCAAGTATAATGAACATTCTTTTCAGTTAATGTTAAATGATGTGTGGGAAAGATTAAATTTGTATTTCTAGTATTGTAAAAGTTAGTTTGAAAACATTCCCTAAATAAATTCTTATTTTTAAAAGTGAAAAGTAAAATTTCTTGGATATATACGGCAAAAACTGTTAATAAACCATTTGACCTAAATCTTCCACGGCTAAATCTAAATCTTCCAATAGGGGTGGTTTTACCCCCACGCGGGGGGTGTTTTTCACCTTGAGCATTTTTAGGAGGGCATTCTTGATGTTACCCTTGCCATATGGAATTCCGCCAATTTTTACCCAGATTTTGGTGATCATTTTTTCTGTTTTCTTGTTTTAGGGGTGGGTTCCACCCCTTCAGTAGGGGTAACTGATCAGAATCCGACAGAAGAACGAATTATGGGGGCATATATTTCATATCATTAGGATTTATAAGGAAGAGTGGCACAAAAAAGGCAATTCATGAAGGGAACATCATTTTCCGCCGGTTTTCGGCAATAGGGGTGGTTTTACCCCCACACGGGGGATGTTTTTCCCCTTGAGCATATTTGGATGAACATCCCTGATCTCTTCCTTACCATTCAAATTCCCGCCAATTTTTACCAAGAATTGATCGACCATTTTCTCACGTTTCTTGTTTTAGGGGTGGTTTCCACCCCTTAAGTAGGGGTAAGTTGGACAAATATTGGAAAATCGAATTATGCTCACCTAGATTTTTCATGACGATCAATTTAAGCCCATGGAGACCTCTGGACGACCTTCCCCGTTCTTGCTACACACTACGCAAAAACGGGCGAAAAAATGGTTTTTTTTTGCGGTTACTCTTTCAAATAAATAAATACTCATAATAATAATGACGTCAACGAATACTTTTAATGCTTCTGGGTTGTACAATTTCTCAAACCAGATCCTTCAAATTAAAAATTAATTACCATTCTCTAAAATATATGGCAATCTAATTACAAAAACTCAATTTAACTTTCTGTTGTATAATTAAAGCCTTGTGAAAATAAATGAAACATTTTTGGAAAATACTCCGTAATTACAAAAATATTTCTTAAAAATAAACAAGCAAACAACACAATAGCTTATTTTAATAAACTTAAATATAAATTTTCTATAATACCAATAAAAAGTGATTGTATAACAATAATAAAGATCAAAATTTTATTGGCAAGAAATGTACCTTAAATGTATTTATTTTCACCCGTACAAAATATTTGTTTACTCCTCAGAGATATAACGATGTTTTGGTTAGAATTTATTTCCATAGATGATGTTTTACAAGTTTTTTCATTTCACAACTTTTCATTTTTATCTTTTCTTTGTACAAAATCTTGGCCCTTTCGGTTTCTTTTCTTTACTTTCCTTAGATGTGCTAGCTTCACCAAAGTCATATTTAGCTTTGAGCCTTTCTCTAATTAACAGACCCTTGATGAGCTTTTTCCAGTTCCCATATACCCGTTTTTCAATTTTCTCGTTTTCCTTCTTTTCAATCTCTTCTTGTTCCTAAAAACAAATTACACACGTTTCATTACTTATATATCTAAAAGGCGTTAATTAAACTTACGGATTCCCACGCGGCTACCACTGCGTCGACAAATTCTTCACAAACTACAAATCCGTCGTACATTGGATGACTCCAACCCCCATGAAAATCGAATCCTACAATTGCGGACGCACAATCTATGTTCATTTTCCTACACACTTTATTGAGGCCGGGTACTAAAATAAAACAAGTAAATAACTGTTTCACGTTAATTTTGAACGTAACTTACATTTCAGATGTACAGTACCCTTCGGTAGCATACAGGGCTTAAACAATTCAACGTTTCCAAAGGCGTTTCTTGGTACTTCCCCATTCTGAGCCGTTGGAGGTTCGTAATCGGTAGTCTGCCATTCCCCAAAAATTTCCAACAACTGATCGGTTATAATTTTGTTTGAAAGCTAAAGATGAAGTTTAAATCGTTTAGCGAATCACTCAAACATGAACCAATTGACGCAGAAATTTACCTTGTCATACTTTGGCCTGGCTTTCACGATTTTATATGGTTGTTCCCCTAGTTTAACAACCTTAGCTTCTTTAAGCCAGATATCTCTAGATCGGCACACATAAACACAATTCCTGGGATATACTGCTTCTCCTCTTATAAAGCCTAACGGCTGGACGTCAGGGGGATATATGTCCTCAAATTTAAGCAAATGCCTTCTGAGCGCGTATAGCGGATGGTTTTTGTATCTAAAAATACATATATGTAAAAATATATCAGAGTTCGTAGCGGCCTGGAAAACCGGGAATACCAGGAAAAGTCAGGGAATTCATTATTCTTTATAAAAAACAGGGAATAGTCAAGGAATTTTAAAAGTATTTATGAATGTCAGGGAATTTGACGTTTGCAACTGGAAATTTTGTGAAAACCGGCCCTGGATTCTTGAAAGAGGAAACTATTTGTGGTTTTGAAACCTTTACAAGACGTTCTTGGGTTTAAAAAAGATTATTGAGCCCAGTCTAGAAAAAATTTAATGAATAAACAATTAGTATGTAAAAATGAATTAAAGTGACTTAGATTTTTTTATAAGTCAGGGAAAACCTGGAAAAGTCAGGGAATTGTATATTACTTTTGATCTATGAACCCTGTATATTTAATCCTTATTGATCTAAAATTTTCTAATTTTTTCTTTATTTTTTTGTGAAAAAATAAAGAATTAATGAAATAAAATCTTCTGCCAAAAGTCAAGGTTATGTTTAGAAAAACAGATTTGTCTGACCAAATAAAAAACAAATAGAGAATACAAAATACTATCAGTCATAGACAGTCCGGCTACTAAATTTTAAGATTGATTTTATTGTGGCGAAGCGCATTTCTATCACGTCCGACTGTGTTCTTGTGGTTTGGGAAGTTTTGTGATGGCTGAGATAGCATACACGACCACGAGAGAACCAGATATCTCTGCACAAGCCGAACGAACAAATACATCGAAATCTGGTCGTCGATCAACCATCAAAATGTTGGCGAATGTACAATTGTTAATATGATTTTCTCCAAAAAATCCATAAAAGTATTACTTAAAATTGGTAATAATTATAAACCCACTGTGATTTAATTGAAAATATGTACATAAACTTATTAATACTTAAATTTGATCGGTAGATGTATATTTCATATATTTTATTTGTCCGTTTTTGTGTTAGATGTTTAAGCAAACCTATTTTGATCAAAATTGCTGTTCAGTGATCTGTTTAGCGCAAAACGCAGGTTTTGATTAATTTTTTACTTCTTTCACAGATGAAATAATACCCAAATAATTAAAGACAAAACTAAAACTATGATACAAATAATTAACTTCAGACAAAATTCTCTTACTCTGCAACAGATTTTGGCAGAGGTTGGTCGAGTTGCTGTCGATTTAAATCATCGTCTTCTTCCTTATCCCTTGCAGTGTATTTTCCTAAAAATGGTTTAAGAGTTTCATCCCACCATTTTGCGTCTACCCTCAATTTACGAGTAATAGTATTAAAATTGGTGCAGTATCTCTTCGTAATATCTTTTATGTTGTTATTGTTATTCCATGCCACAATGTAAGAAATTGGATGAGTAGCCCGGGTCTAAATACAAGAGGTTTGTTAAAAGTGAAAAAAGAATAAAAATTTCATTAGAAAATACTTACAAATAATTCATTTACGCAATGGACCTGGCCACGAACGACGTCTACACTAATCCACTTTTCTTCGGCTTCTAAAAATACTTCTGCCCAAACATTATTACCCTTTTTCTTGCCAGTCTTCTCAAGGTCGCTATCGGTTGATGTTTTCAAATCTGACCCTTTTCTCGGTATTCTTATTCTTTGCTTAACTTTAGGTTTGGGCACAAAATAATCGATATCACTGTCACTGTGATGATGTTTCTTTTTAATGGGTTCTGGCATAAAGTCGCTGTCAGAGTCACTATCGTCAGGTGGAGGTTTTCTTTTTTTTACCATTCTACTCCTATCTACTTGCTTCTGTTCCACAATCCTACCTTTGATTAGATTTATTATATCGTCTTTAACGTTTAGTTGTTTTTGAGGTGGTGATACAACTGTTTTTGGCTGATCTCTTTTTTTTGATAAATTCTTCAATTTGTTTAAATTAACTTTGCGATTTTCTATTACTTTAGGAGACTCGGTATTTTTCTTCATAATTGAGTTTCTGGGTTGAAAGTCATCTTCGGAATTATATCCTTTGTCCAGAGTTTTCAATCGATTTGGATGTTTCTTCACATCACAAGCATTTTCTGGGGTCCTTAATTTTTTCAAATTAGGTTTTTTCGACTTTGGTTTTTCTTTTTTGTCATCTGCACCATCTAACTGTTTTATAAAATATTCCTCGTCAGATGAATTATTTGTACCATCAACTTGGGGAACCCCTTTGATCTTCTCTCTTTTTGGAAATTTTATTTTAATTACATCTTTCTTTGAATTATTTTTAGGTTTTGATTTAGATGCCTTTACTTCACTGTTACTCTCACTTTTTGAACGGCTTTTAGTTTCTTTCACATCTAAAGTATTTTTAAACCCTTTTTCTTTAATTTTAATATCCTCGTTTTTTAATTTCTTTTTCATTTCATTTGATTCCTGTATGTGAATAGTTTCTTTTTCTGTATTTCTTTCACTTCTTAAACAACGTTTTCTAGTTTCTTTAACTTTTAACATATCACCTTTTTCATTTGTAGATTTATTTTTATTCTCTACATTTTTTTTCTCATCTTTCTTTATTGTATTATTATTTAATTTATTATCTGCTTCCGATTTTCTATCTTCATTAACAGATTTACCTTTTTTTTCTTTATTTCTCATTGCATAGGAATTGCCACATTTGTCAACAGATGATGCATTAGATGTTTTTATTACCAAAGCATTATTGTCTTTTTTCTGTTTGATAGTTCCAGATTGTTTCGACTCTTTGCTAGACAGACTTTTGTTATGTTCAGTTTTATTCTTCGAACTTTTATTTTTCATCTCCTTTTTAATATCGTCATTTCGTAATGAATGAAGTTCACTAGCAGGAGGTCGTAAAGACTCTACTTGGAATGAAAGGACCAACCTACATTGTATTCCTAAAGCTCTCAGTATCGCTATAAATATATAAACAAACATGTTTTTATTATACGCATCCTTCTTGCTTATTTGTAATTTAAGGATATCTACCAAGCGTGACTTTTTATTTATTGGTTTTTCTACTAGGTTTATGGCTTTTTTATACCACTGAACGATCTGCTCAAGATAACTTAGATCTGTTCGTTCGGAAGGATAACACTTATCTGAAGGCAATAATGACAGAGCCAAGCCCAATATTTCGGTGTTATTAATAGCTGCATTAACGTAATTACCGTGTGCTATCCAACACAGTAAATGCACCTTATGGACATATACTTGATTTTCTTTCCTTATACGATTCAATCGCCGTTTCATAGCTGCAAGCAAATCTACACCTTTCTTTTTTCTGCAAGAGTCCGGCATATTAACTACAATTTGTATATCTTGTTTTCGAATAACATTATGTTCCTTGGTTTCCTGATAATCCTTAATTTTGACTTCTTCCCAGTCTTCTCGCTCTGAATCGCCTGATTCAAAGTCACTTGAATGCAAATCCTCAAGTTTAATATCCTCAAGAGTTACTTGTTTGGATTCTCCAACAGCTAACAGATTTGAGATGTCTAAATTATTTTCTTCTATTTTTTTGGATGCTTTTTTCTTGGCATTATATTTTTCAATATGTTTCTTGGCCTCTTCTATTTGCCTAGTATATTCTTCTAACTGCTTGAAGTTTAATTTAGTGCCACTAGTGCTAGGATTATTTTCCACTTCTATTTGTTCTGAATTTTTCGGTGAGCTTTTATCCTCATTTGCATCTACATCATCTGAGTCTGAGTCACTAAGTCTTGTTATTCCGGCAAATAGTTCTTTCTCTATTTTGTTAAACTCTTCTTCATTTTTCTTTTGGGTATTGAAGAAAGATGAATTTAAATCAATTTTGTCAATGGGCTGCAAATAATTTTCGATATCGCTTTCACTTGAGGAATCATTTTCTTTTATTGAAGAGGGATTATTAGAGAATTGATGCAACTTCTTTAAAGGTACATTATCTTCACTATCACTACTTTCTACTATTTTAGCCATTCTCCTGGTGCGTCTCATTTTGAATTCTAATAGAAACAATTAGTTATCAAAAAATCAATGTAGGTTAAAATATATAAATGTATAAAATATTTTAATAATAAAATTTTGTATGCAGGTACATACTAACCTTTTGAAAGTTAACTTTTTAAATAATTTTTATCCAATTATTTTTACCGCCAAATTCACTAAAAAGTTACAAATTATTTCACAATTAAATTTTACTTCAAATTGAGACTATCTCTTCATAATTAGGATATATTAATTTCAATAAATCTAATTTATTTTGTACACTAACTTGTTTTGACATGTATATGAATTCATTATATATAAAACATGTACGAACTACGAACACAAATACATATGAATGGTTGTAATTTGTATGAATATTACACCAAAAAAATTGGAGGACATTTGAAGACGTGAGTTATTTGATCTACTTGCTAGTTTGCTTATTATGGCAGTATAGGGGAACTACTTACAAACTTAGTACCTGTTTTGTGTATTAAGAATTATGAATTTTGATTTATAGTTAGAAGGAACTATAATCTGAATACAAATCGGCCAAATGGCCATATTCATTTTGTAAAAAAAAACAAAAAGTTGTGATACTGACCAATACTGACGTTTGACGTTAATGTTAGTGATTATAAATTTTTTAAATCTTTGGTGTATGTCCGTTCTTTGTGAAATAACTTGCTGAATGTAAAAATTTATATATTTTATTTATGTATAGCGTTGAGCCATATACATAGGTAGTTCACTATTTGATATATTTTTGCCTGCAGTTCATGTAAAACTAATAAGCACAGTTTCAGGATGTCTTCAAAAAATTCGGAAGGTACATACAATGTTTTAAAATATACATTCATTTTAAAAACAAACAATTTTTTCTTTCATAGAGAAGAAAGAAGATCCAAAACCTGTTGTACCTGGAGCATCCAGTGACAGTACTGTTGGAATGAGTATGGAACATCTACGTAGATATCTAGCAGAAAAATTAGGTTTCTATGATGATGATGACGAAAGTGAGGCCGAAAAACCAAAGGTAGTTAATATATTTTTTCTATTCATGTTATGAAATTTTACTTTTATATAAATACTGGCACTATGTTTAGAATACTACGATATATTAGAACCTCATTTCTTATTTATTTTCAGGTGTTAGATGAAGTAAATATAGATGGAATTGTGGATTATATAAAGAAGAAAAATTGTAAAAATATAATAACTATGGCAGGTGCTGGAATTTCAACATGTAAGTATTAGATATTGTGGCCAAATTAAAAAAATTGCTTAATAAAAAATGTCAGCAAACTTATTTGTTATTTTTTCTTTGAAGCTGCTGGAATTCCTGATTTTCGCTCTCCAGGCACAGGCTTGTACCACAATTTACAAAAATACAAATTGCCTCATCCTCAGGCCATTTTTGAATTAGATTTTTTTAGAGAGAATCCAAGACCTTTCTTTGAATTAGGTAAGGAATTGTATCCAGGTACTTTCAAACCCACCGTTTGTCATTATTTTATTAAAATGCTCGAAGATAAAGGTCACTTATTGAGACATTATACTCAAAACATTGACACTTTGGAAAGAGTGGCAGGGGTACCCGACGGCAAATTGGTAGAGGCACACGGCACTTTTCATACTGGTCATTGCATGCAGTGTAGGATGGAGTATACTCAGCAGTGGATGAAAGGTAACTTAATGACGTTTATTAATTAAAAAAGGAATTAATATCGCCCATGTCTAACAAAATGTCTATAGATTTATAAATGCCCGATATAGTATCGTTAGATCTCTACTTTATAATAACCTGAATGTGGTTATCTCTCATGCGAATGCACATGACAGCCAGTCGGCTACCGATTGCTTTTTAGATGTTAGATGACCAGGGCAAAAAAAAACATTTTGTTAGGTGTTGACCAGTGGCGGCTCGTGGTATGTTTAGCAGAGGAGGCTTGAAATAAAAAACTTTAAACTTGTGTTTCTTTTCTTTGAGGACGGGTTATCGTTAAAGGTTTAGTCAATGTCTTCTAAGAAAATTGCATACGTGTTGAAATGGTTCTCATTATTACGGAATTCTTTTAATTTTGATAAAAGTGAATTAATTCTCTTTTTAGAAAATGTTACATCAGTTAATTTATTCTGCAAAATTTGGAATACAACATCAGTTTGTCCAAAAATCGTTAAAAGGTTTTAAAAAAAAAATGAAATTTTTGTCCAACAACAATTGTTTTATTCCATAAGCGGATCCTAAAGTTTGTTGATCATTTAAAAAATCCTCACTATCTGGTATGAAATCAAAAACCTCAGTAAGTTTCTTTCTATAAGTTTTGACCATAAAAACAGCTCTAGAGAAAAATTCCAACGAGTGAGAGTATTACTTGGAATACTGTGTTGCATTATTTTATTTAATATGTCAGATCTTTTAGTATATTTGGAAAAAAATGACGAAAATCCGTAAAGATTTGAAAACAAATTCTCACTTTAATGCCGTTGCAAGCTTTACTTAAAACTAAATTTAATTTATGTGCGTAACAATAAAATAACTTGAGGAGTGACGTCTTTTATTTTTCTTTGAAGTTCATTTACATGACCTGACATAACCGCAGCACCATTATAGATTTGAGCAATTAATTTATTTTTTAAGTCAGATTTCCTAAATTCATTAATTAATAATTTAAACAAACTTGCTGCATCTCTCTCACTTGTTGTCAAAAAATCCAACAAATCTCAACAACTTCTCCATGCACTGTGTATCTAAAAATTACCGATAATTGGGACTTACAGGTAACATCTGTGATTTCATCAACTTGCCAGGAGAAAAATTCGCAATTATTTAATTTGTCATAAATTTTTCTTTTGATAATTGAACTAATACTCTCAATTAAATCATTTTGAATGGTTTTAGAGGTTCCCGAAAAAACTGGCATTATCTAAGAAATTCTGCAATTTTGAATCATATGTTTTTAATAAATTTATTAACTTTAAAGTTCCCTCAATTAGCAGAACCCACTTTTTCATCATGTCAGCGAAAAGAAATTTATTGAGACGATAAAAATATTACTACATTATTTAGTCTATTTAAATCATCTCTATTTTCACAAACCTTCTCATTATAATGTTGTATTTCTGTTTTGTGAGCGGAATCTAAAGCGTTTATAATATTCTGTTTACCAAACATTTCAAATTTAATACGCGATGAAATATGTTCTTGTGATTTTTCCTGTCTTATGAGGCCTCTCGTTAAATTTTTTAAATTGTTAAAACCTACCCTGCTCCAAACCGATAAATTATTATTAGTGAAAAATAAACATTGCCAGCAGTATAATTTATTTCTAACAGTTGATGCAGTTTTTCTATAATTATTAATTATTATCTTTAAATCCCCTATTTTGTTTTTCACCCACTGCAACTAGACTGCAAAGGTGTTGGTCTCGATTTTTGTTTAATTATGAGCTTTTCATCATAACTGAGAGTACTAAATCCTTTTAATAATAAATAATCTACAATGTCCATGCAACTAAAGAAGTTGTTGAGGTTATGTTCGTTTTCCGCATTCATTTTATTTTAATAAAGTTAAGTACGTACCAGAGTAAAATATAAATGATTGTTTTACTAATTAATTATGATCGTCTCACAAAAATTCATAAGAAAAACCACATAAACAACAGTTAAAAACAAAAACTCGGGTACTCACAGACGACCAATGTTATTACAATGAAATGCAACATTGCAACATACAATTGTGATCGCCGAGGTGGTAAAGAAGAAGAGCTATATTGTAAGATTCGCGATTCGCTTGTTAAAAAGACATGGAAGGTGGCAACAAGCCTCCGTGCTCGACTGGTTAAGCTCGAATGTGACATCATGGCATCATTTCAAGGTCTGGCAGCGTATAGAACACTGATAAAGGCTGGACGCTTGAGAAAGTTAGCTGCCAGCGACTATAATGCGAATTCGGGGGCGCGAAAAATAGTTAACATTTAAAAATGGTATATTTACGTACTCAAGATCTCTCTTAGTAGGTACCTAATTAGTTGCATATGAAAATAGATTTGTAAGAAAATTTCTTAAATAATATTAATTATATGATGTAAAATAAGAAAACTAAAAGAAAACTTTTACAATACTATCAAAAACTGCAGAGGAGGCTTAGCCTTCCCACCTTCCCAGCCTCTAACGAGCCGCCACTGTTGTTAACCGTGCATGCTTATATTCACAGAAAAAATTGTCGGTAATTAATTTCGGATGAAGTATACTTCAATAAGTAGGTGTCCTCATACGTTTTTAGTAGTAATCAATTAAATTAAACTAAATTAATTAATAACCTTAAGTAATAAATGAAAGAGCACGCAACAGTAAGTTGACAGTCGACTATTTTGTTGTCAGGTGATAAAATTTCATACATCCTTATGAAAATATGCAGACATAATTTTGTTATTTAAAAAAATAGTCAGCAAATGTTTCGTGCACAATCACTTAGTGTTCTTGTCTTATTTTTTTATAATTCTTTTCTTTCTAAAAAAAATTGCTAACTTGTTTATATTTTTCAAGAACGTATTTTTAAAGACGACATTCCGATATGCGAAGAATGTCCTGGTGTTGTAAAACCCGATATTGTATTTTTTGGAGAAAATTTACCAGAAAAATTTCATAAGCTTCTACATACTGATTTTGCAAAATGCGACCTGCTTATAATTCTGGGGTCTTCCCTGGCTGTGCAACCCTTTGCATCACTGGTCGACAGGTAACAAATATGATACTTGCGTTCGAGTATATTTAGAGAAATTCTTTTTTTTTTAGGGCTCCGCATCATATTCCAAGGCTGCTTATAAACAGGGAAAAGGCAGGTCATCGAACGGGCATTATGGCTATGATGGGCATCGGTGGAGGTCTGGATTTTGATGGTAAAGACAATACGAGAGATGTGGTATGGCTAGGAGACTGTGATGAAGGGTGTCAATTATTAGCTGATAAATTAGGATGGGGGGTAAGCAAAAGGTTAAAAATTTCAGTGAAAAATTGTTAATTATAATCGATGTTTTTAGGATGAATTGAGAGAATTGTGTAAAAACGAACATGAGAAAATCGACAAAGCCGAAAAAGATAATTCGGTGTCAAGCAAAAAAGAAAAGGAAGGGCATAGTCCTGCTAAGGAAGAACAGAGTCCTAAATTATAAGATATTCTGTTTTACATTTCAACTCATTAGAATATAGATAAGGGGTTAAATATTTTTATTTCTGTTTATAAAAAAGTTTTTGTTCTTAGTTTATTAATAAATAAACGTTTTAAAAAATTAAGAACATTAATAGCTTCGGCCAAACAATGTATAAAACTGAGGTTTTCTTGTACAATCGGGGTGGATGCACTTATCGTTTTCTTTTATCGTAGCGGGTTGTTCCAAAGGAATACATAACGATTTGGCTCCCATTGAAGGAGCTCCTGGTTCGACACCTTCATCCCTAAGAAAAAATTATGAATTTGTTACTTAAATTCCAAAAATTAAGTTCGCTGTTTTTTTATTGTAATAAATTTTCAATAGGGTTACTAGAAAAGTTGAAACATTGCTCGACTATGAGCTCCTGGTATTAAAGTAAGATGATTTAAACCAACTTACAAATTCAGGTTGTCTCAAAATTTAACACTTTTTGATACTCATACTTTGTTAAAAACGAATATTATCGATATCCTGTTTTTCTAATACAAACTTCCAATGATGTGTTTTTTTTTATAACTCAACAAGAAAGATCGATTGAGGCATTCTACGTATAAAATTCAGTGCTTAGTGAGATATAGCCTGCCGAATATTTACAAACTATACAGGGCGTTCCTAAATAAGTGTCGCAACGGAAAACTGTAAATTTCTCTTGAAAAAATAAACATCATTTTCCTCTTCCATTTTTCTCTCCGGGCTTTCGTTTTCGAGATACATGGTGTCAAAACTTTATTTTTTTTTGCCAATATCTTTTCTTACCCTTCTCGAATTCATTGGACGTACCAGTGGTGGAGATTTTAAGGTATAGTAAGGGTTTTTTCCCCCTAACTTTTATGCCACTGGAAAAATTGACATTTGGCAGCAAATTCTGAAGCCGCAATGAATTTTACCCAAAAATAGTTCTCTTGGTTCATTGCTCTAAAATCGACCGTTTTCAAGAAAAATGACCCATCAAATTATGTACAACGTTCACAGAAACATGATCCGATGATGTAGTGCGTGCATTCAAGTCAACGGACGTAATTTTGAACAGTTTTTGTAAATTTTAGTCGCTAAAGTGATAAAAAATTATTTTTAAGGGTTTTTAAGTTAAAATCCTATCTGTTGTTAAATTTCGTTAAAATGGTAAATAATAACAACCTTTTTTTTGAATTACAAAATATTTTCGAAAAGTTAGCAAAATGTTTGTTTTTGCTCATAAAGTCATTTTTCTTGAAAACAGTTGACTTTAGAGCAATGAACCAAGAGAAATCTTTTTGTGTAAAATTCATAGGCGCTTCAGAATTTGCTGCCAAATGTTAATTTTTCCAGTGGCGTAAAAGTTAGGGAGGGAAAACTCTTACGATACCTTAAAATATCCATCACTGGGCATGTCTAATGAATTCGAGAAGGGTGCGAAAAAGTATCTATTAATAGTGGTAAGTGTGTACAAAAGCTCAATCCTGTAGTTCAAACGGTTCCTAAGATATTGACAAAAAAATAAAAAAAAAATTAAAGTTTTGACACCGTGTATCTCGAAAACGAAAGCCTGGAGAGAAAAATGAAAGAGGAAAAAAATGTTTCTTTTTTCAAGAGGAATTTACAGTTTTCTGTTGCAACACTTATTTAGGAATACCCTGTATAACCAATAAATATAGTACAATGAAGCAATATTATTTATTGAATGTAGTATATTTCTTGAATATGTAAAAAAACTACAGGGTGTTATGTTATTTGGCATCCCCATATTCTTGATCACCTTGTTTTACATTTTTTCAATATAAATTTGATTTCAAAATTTTTGTCACATGGAATTTTGATGTCAACTAGTGCGGGCAGAAACCGGAAAAAAGTGAAACCGGTTAACCAGGTTCTGGAAAAACCGATTTCAGATAAAACCTGTTAGTCAAATAGTTGCTAAAACCGGTTATTCGAATAACCCGTTACTTGAATCGCTAAAACCGGATATCTGAAAATCGGTGCTGAAGTCAAATTTGTTTACGAAGAAATCGATCTCCAAAAAAAAATAGCAATCGGACAAATCAATGTTAAAAAAAAGGAAGTAGATAATCGAGCAATCGGTTATTTGAATAATCGGATATTTGAAGAATTGAATAACCGAATAATCGGTTTTCGGATATTTGAAGAATCGAATAACCGGTTTTCGGATTTCATAAAAATCCGAATTATCCGAAACCGGTTAACCGACTATCCAAAAAACCGATTTCAGTTGCCAGCACTAATATCAACTATGGATTTTGAGAAAACAGGGCGACAATCCCGTTTCCATATTTGGAGCAATACACATAAAATTAAGAAAGTTGGAAAAATGCTTCATATTTATGATTACATCAGTACCTTTTATGAATAAAATCACTCAATATAAAAAAATTAAGTTTACATACATGACACTAAACGGATTGCCATAGGCTATAAAGAAGTTTTGGGTTAGTCAAAAGGTGAACCCCAAAAATAAAAGAAATCTTTAACTAGGCCAATTTTAAAGTTTTGCGTAGTGTTGTTTCGAGATGCCACATTAATCTCAGTGGTTGTTGTTTTTTTAGCATCTATATAGTTAAGTTGGTCTAAATCATCTTATTTTGACACCAGGAATGTCGTGTGGTTTCCCTACCACTGGGCGAAGTTAGGTCATCAGATCTGGGGGGGGGGCTAAAGGCCTAATATGAAGAAATGTGTATATTTTTTATTTTCTGTTTTGATGTGTACGTGTAATAATGTTTTAATATTTTTGGGGGGGCTAATTCCGGTTTTAGCTTTGGGGGGCTTAACCCCCCAAGCCCCCCCTAACTTCGCCCATGGTCCCTACCTTTCTAAGACACCTCACATTTTAAAGAAAACCTGCACTGATAAGCTACAATATTAAAATAATATTTCAACATTTTCCATCCTTGATAAAACGGTCTTTCCCTGAATGTGAAGGCACATACAAAAGACAGTCGGCTGTTAACTATTATTTTTTTTACTCTTTTTTAGGTTACAATCAATATTTCATTATGCGTCGCAAATGCATACATATTAGTACAACATATATAGGGTGTACTAGAGTATGTGAGCAATCTCTCGGATTTATACAGAGGAAAACAGTTCATTTTATCGAGATCAACCAAGAGTGCCTTTTTTAGTTTAACCCTTTCACTGCTCCAGACGTATTTATTCGCTAAAAATTGATAGGGCTCAAACTGCTGCAGACGAATTAATTCGCTTGAATAGTTAAATTGGACCAGGCTGCTCAAACCGTATATATTCGCAACCATGCGCATAGTGACTCGGTTGTTGCAATTGGTATGGGGAATTTTTGCGGACGGAATTTATAGCGATTGTGACAAATATTTTTATGGGAAGGAGGTACTGGTAATAATGCCAAGACTGTTCATCTCTCTTTCAGTTTCTATTTAGTACAGCTGCAAATATACTGTACTTTATTTAAAATAAAATCGTGAAATTGATCGTAAATCGTAATTTAACACAACATAATGTAAGCAAAAGGGTTAAGGCTCAAACTATCTAAAAATATTATTTTTGTGTCGTAAATGGTGTAAAAAAAGTTGACACTATTGCACTACATCGTATTAAAAAATAATTAAATTACACAAAATATTTTAAGTTTTATAGGGACTTGTCATGTTAATTTAACGCCCCATGTGTAAATCCGAGAGATTGCCCACATATTATGGGACATATGGTATATGCACTTCATCCCATGCATTTTTAATATTTTTGTCACGGTACTCCTTGCAAGAGGTATTGTATAAAATACGATGCCGTTGCACTTCACCTATCCTTTACTGACTGTGCATATGCCAGTTAAATTTGTAAACAATATGATACATGCTCTATTCTCTGACAACTGACAGTTCTTTCTAAAAATTGAATGTTTACATCCGTTTTGTTGGGACCTCATTGTTGGCCAGGTACATATATTCAATAGTGTCAAGTTTATTTTTACCAATAAAATTGTTGGCCAATGACTGTCTGTCTCTGATAATTCTGGATAATTTTCAAGTTAATCGTGGACGCAGTATACTTCAATACTTAGGTGCCCTTATACCGGTTAACAGTAAACAACCAACCTGCAACAGGTGCAATTAAGAACTGACGACCTTAATTAATAAGTGAATGGGCACAAAACAGTCAGTGACCATGTACGGGTTTATCGGCAAAATAAACTTTTTAACTAATGATACTGTGGGAAATGACTACTCTGCGGGCTATAGCCCCGTCCTGCATTGAATTATACCTGCAACATCTAGTAAACATCTAAGATCGTTCGTCTCACCTAGGGCATAGCGAAGAGAACAAATAAGTTCAAAACATAGTCTATATCCAATGATTCTGCTGCCGAATTATCTAAGCTGTCCATTGTGGATCAAGTTCAATGCTGTATAATGTTGTATCCCACATAGTCGTTTCGAGAGACAACTATTTTGAGAATATCAAAGTAGCCAATTTAACTCAAACTTAAAGCGGGTGCGAAACAGACGACATCATAACGTATTTACAGAAAAGGATGGAAAATGTTTGCGTTTTGAATTTAATCATGATGATTTCAAATAAAAATGTAACGAGATATTAATCATTTACCTAGTACTGTCATTTTTAATTTTATCTTCGCATTCGTTGTCGCCACAGAAGGGTGCTAAAATGATATTCTTCTTATCCAAGCTGGGTCCGAATTGGGACCAATCCGTCATCAAAATCGTATGTTCTTCTAAATCCTTAGAGGCCCTGAAATATAAACAAGTTACATCCGCAACGTTCATGACAAACTACACTTACTTATTATATAGACTACTCTGAATGTCTCCTAATAAATCGTTCAATTTCTTCGCAGCGCTGTCTCGGGGAAGAGTGACTTTCTCCCCTGTATCTCTCCTTACAGCCACGATCTGCTTCTTTTCGATGTCCTTTGGTCCTAATTCCACCCTGATTGGCACCCCCTTCAGTTCCCAGTCATTGAATTTCCAACCAGGAGAGTAATTGGATCGGTAGTCGCCTTTCACTCTAATTCCAACATTTTTTAACTCGCCTTTTAACTGATCACAAGCGGCTTGTAAATTATTACGTGCCTCATCCGAGAGATTGACGCTTATACCGCAAGGTACTATTACTATCTGAATACAAGCCACTTTCGGGGGTAAGACTAAACCTTGGTTGTCGGCATGAATCATTATCATAACACCTGAAAATATTATCATTGCAATTATTGCTTATTATTTGATTAGGTTTTTTTTTAATGTAGGTATGGAACGTTTCGACTTCATTAATTAAGCCTTCATCAAAGCTCTGCAATAGGGTTATTTGCACAGGTTGAATTCCATATAAAATAAAATAAAAGTGGCAAAAATTAGAATTCTCAATTAATAAGCAATTTTTTTACTGCTATTACCCTGTTGTCTAGATGGCAGTACCAACAGCAACCAATAGTAGCAACTAGTCATTTAAAGGTAAATTTACAATACATTGGATTCAATTGCAGGGAAACACTTCAAATATTTCACTTTATAGATGAATCTAAAGCTGGAATTGTTTTTATTTATTGGAATTATAGAACTGATTGTGTTATTTGTTGTGACGGCTAAATGAGTGGTCATTTAAATATCAGAAAAAGTGATAGGTCATTTTTGTTCTTTTTAAGTTTCAAAAATTATGTTTCCATTGAACTGATGTTTTGTTATTCTTATACTGGGTGTCCCAGAATAAAGTGTACAACAAAATAGGCAGATTTTTGTGGCTTTGTGATCTTTGTGGCCGCTAGAGCCACAAAGTTCGTGAAAATCTTTAGAATTTTGTAAATAACTCAAATACGTATTATTCGATTTTGATTATTTTTGGGGTGTGGACTTTTGCTTGCAATCTACACATTGGTGTTATACAAAGTGTTTTTTAAAACTTACAACTCCTACAAAATTGATGTATGGCGATTAGGGTGGCCCAAAAAAAAACGAATGTTTTTTTTTCATGTCTCTTGTAAAAATATGTTAGTTTATCATGTTTTAAGAGCCCCTTCAAAAAATCAGCCCAAAAAAAATTTTTTTAGAGGTCGCTCAAGATTTTTAAAAAATTTCCAAAATCGTCAAAAATTTAATATTTTTTTATATTTTTTTCTCGTTATTTTATCATTTTCTGGGTTGAAAAAAAAAATTCAAATCGATATTTTAAATTTCTAAAGGTTACTCATAATTATTTTAACTTTAAAAAACAAATATTTTTTTTCGTGTCTTGTAAAAATACGTTAGTTTATCATGTTTTAAGAGCCCCTTCAAAAATTCAGCACAAACAAATTTTTTTAAAGGCGCTCAAGATTTTTAAAATTTTCCAAAATCTTCAAAAATTGAATTTTTTTTATAAATTTTTTTCTCGTTATTTTATAATTTTCTAGGTTGAAAAAAAAAATTCAAATCGATATTTTAATTTCTAAAGGTTACTCATAATTATTTTAACTTTAAAAAACAAATATTTTTTTCGTGTCTCTTGTGAAAATACGTTAGTTTATCATGTTTTAAGAGCCCCTTCAAAAATTCAGCACAAAAAAATTTTTTTAGAGGTCGCTCAAGATTTTTTAAAATTTCCAAAATCGTCAAAAATTGATTTTTTTTTATAAATTTTTTTCTCATTATTTTATCATTTTCTAGGTTGAAAAAAAAAAATTCAAATCGATATTTCAATTTCTAAAGGTTACTCATAATTATTTTAACTTTAAAAGTAGTGTACCTAAAATGTTTTCGAGCGACCCCTAAAAATAACTGAACGAACTAATAATTTTTTTTATTGAATTTGATGAACAAAACAATAGAAATAAATCACGACACTTAAAAAATTTCTCGAGGCAAAATTTACTACCGCACTGTATCAAATATGTATTTATAATTTTTTAATTTTTTCAAATTTAAGTGTCTCATAATTTATTTCTATTCTTTTGTTTATCAAATTCAATAAAAAAAAAATTATTAGTTTGTTGATATTTATTTTTAGAGGTCGCTCGAAAACATAGGTACATTACTTTGAAAGTTAAAACAATTGAGTGGCCTTTAGAAATTAAAATATCGATTTGAAATTTTCAGAATGGAAATTTGTTTCAACCTAGAAAATGATAAAATAACGAGAAAAAAAATTGAAAAAAAATTTTTTGAGCTGATTTTTTGAGGGAGCTCTTAAAACATGATAAACTAACATATTTTTACAAGACACTAAAAAAAATATTCATTTTATTTGGGCCACCCTAATGACAATAATATCCGTTCATAATTCTTTCCTCTTTAGGGTAATAATGACAACCATATTTTATGCGATAGGTTGCAAGTTTTTGGGCCCCTTGTAGAATTTTGATTAAATGAGCGGTTTGGGTACAAAAAAATATTTTTTAAATGTATGCATTATCTTGCCATCCATATTATAATACTTAATAAAGTGCTAGTAGGTTCTTATTTTGTAGGTTGATGTTTTTAGCAGTTTTTAAAATTGTTTAACTTTTTGGATTAAAGTATTTTTTGTAAATGTTCAATGGAATGGAAGAGATTTGACGAAGACTTAATAAATAAAGTAGGAACATTAACAAAAAAACTGATGTAGTTTTCTCATTCTATATCGCATACCGTCTAATTAAAAAAAATTATGAAATCAAATAAAATAATAGACAAACAAAAAAAACGTTATCGTTTATTAACTACTTACCGATTGTTCTGGTCGTAATACCCCAGGAGTTTTGAAATACGTATTTCTTTTCCTGAGTTTCAGGATCCTCATAGACGATTTCGAACATCTTTGAAAAGTTTTTACCCAGATGATGGGAGGTAGCACCCTGAATGCCTCTTCCACTAGCGGAAACGAATGCTTCCACCGTAAACGAGTAGTCGCTACCTGCGAATTTTTCCTTTTCCGTTTTCCGGCCTTTTATTACAGGTATCGCTAACAAGTCGCTGTATATCCTCGCGTACAAATCTAAATCGGATGTAACGATAAAAAAAAATTAATAAATTGTGACAAAAGTTATGCTCCGATGCCAAAATAATAGACAGTGATTCATTCTCAACATTCACTTTGGTATATCCAAATATCCAACAGATAGGTACGCACTTTTTATTTATACTAAAGCATGTATTCGGCAATTCTGACCTCGTAGGCAAACATCGCCTATTACCACCCACATACTCTTTTTTTCTTTTGTTTTATTGAGATATAGGACCAGCGATCAATAGAGATGTGCCTTTCACAAACGATTCGTTTGAAAAGAAATCAAATGCAAAAAATTCCACACTTTCCCGATTTATTGGTTCAGGGACTTGAACTAGTTTTGTCGACAGTCATTTGGTCTCGACATGGACGTAATACATGAACTAAAGATAGAAATGGGCACTAATAATAATAGGATCCAAGTGCACACAGACTAAGCATCTTATTGGAACACTATGCGAAATGATTAGCACATTACAATGTCTATACCGAGAATCCCAAAATTATTTGATCTGATTAAATAGAAGTTAAAATTGTGGTTTGTTTTGTTTATGACTCTACTACCTACTATTTTGGCAGTGCAGTATACCAAATATGCTAACCTAATATGATGCCTACTTCTTCAGTGGCTTCTTCTTTTAGGGCGTAGGCAGTATGTCCTTCTTGCCACAAAAACTCTCTGGTCCTCAAAAACGGTTGAGGGTGTTTAAATTCCCATCTCTATAAAAAATTATCGTCAGGACTTAAAGGAATAATAGTCCAACCAAAATACACTTGGAGAAAAAAAAAATTTGTTACCTGGACTTTTATGAGTGGAAATGGTAAAGGGGCTTATAATAAACGTAAAAAAAATAAATTCTTGAGCAGGGGTGGTGGAGGGTCGATTTAGGGGTTTGAAAAGTTGTGAAAAATTGTATCATTGTAATTTCTGGCGAAAGTTGACGTCAAACAAAAAGTATCTAATACAAAAGTTGTAGATCATGCAAAAATCTACAACTTTTGTAGAGGTCACTTTTCAAGATAACCTCAAAATTACCGAAAAAAATGCCAAAAACGGGTTTTTTTCTTATTTTTTCTTTTTTATTTCTCATTTCCACAAAAATTATTTAATTTTGACGAAACTTGGAGAAAGTATACCTTTCTATGTCTTAAATAACCACAAATTTTTTTAGATAAAAAAAATCAAGAAGTTTCCGAGATATTAATTTTTTCCGGTGTGGCACACTTATTTTTCAAAGAGAAATTCTACTTAGAAAAATCATCGTACAGATTTCTGCCGGTGACCATTTTTTTGGTTTGGACATATACTTTTTGGTGAAATAATAAAATCTGGAATCACAGTTCAAAAACATGCTCAAAAATGCAAAAAAAATAAAAAATGGCTTGCAACAATGAATTTTTCAGTAATTGTAGATAATTTTTTTAAGTTTAAAAAAAATTAAAAAACTGATTACACCATTCAATTGTACGGAAAAAAATACAAAGGAAACTGTCTCATTGTTTGACCCAAAACTTTATTTTTGTACAGTATTGCTACAGACATCTAAGTAGAATTAATTACAAATGCACAAATGATAAATTATCTCTGGATGATTTAAGATTTCAGCAATACGAAGTATTAACTGTAAAGTCTATTTTTAAAATAGAAAAATTACCACCAACTGTTACACAATACTCCTATACAAAAGCATACTTTCAGCTTCAGACGTGGCTTGGAAACAAAATACCTGCAACCAAGTAAGGCTGGAAAGAAGTAATTGCGAATAATTCCAAATTACTCATACCTCGCTTTACAGAAGTTTCAGTCGTGCCTGAAGATTTATTAAAAACAATTTCTCGCAGCTGCGAAACCAGTTGTGACGGTAATATATGCGGGTGTCGAAAACATGGACTGCAATGTACAGATTTATGTACAAATTGTCATGGTTCGGTCAATTGTTTAAAGTTTACAAAATTTCGGAAAATTTCAGTGATTCCGAAGACATTTCACATGAAATCAAGCAGACAAGTCTTTGCTTGAACCCGGAAAATCAATTAACCGAAGAATTAAGTGATATCGAAGAAACGTTTGAAGATCAGGAAGAAGCCCAGTCTAACGAAGGATCGGACGGTGAAGATCAAGTTAAAAAGTCACCAAAAAGACCAAGATTTGCCTAGTAATATTTAATTGTAAATATGCTTTGTAAACATTTTGAAAAATTTTATAATTTTGAAAGCAAAAAATTGAAATTTAAATAATTCAATTAAAAAATCACTTATACAGTGTGTGCAAGGATAGCATTAGCATACCAAAAAAGTTGTGTTTTTTATTCCTAATAATATGCCGGCAATTTATTTTAAAATTCGTTTTCAAATAAAGCCAAAAAAAAAATAAAACGATTTTGCAAAATTTCAGGTTTTTCCGGATATCTCCGGAACTACCTGGAATTTTAAAACTTCTATACACCATATTGTTAGGAATAAAAAAACAACTATTTTTCTAATTTGACCCACTCCGTATCTCTTACCGTTTCCTAATCCTAATGCTATCCCATCCTTATCTTGGACACGCTATATCTGTGAATTCATCAAAATTAAAAAAAAAACGATCCAATGGAAAAAAATTATTATTTATTTTTATTTTATTTATTCACTATTCGACTTAGATAGACACAATTTTTTTTGTATTTTTTTCCGTGTGATTGAATGGTGTATTCAGTTTTTGATTTTTTTGTTTAATTTAAACAAATTATCAACAATTACTGAAAAATTCACTGTTGCAAGTCATTTTTTATTTTCTTCACATTTTTGAGCATGTTTTTGAACCGTGATTACAGATTTTTTTATTTCACCAGAGTATATGTCAAAGCAAAAAAATTATTACCGGCAGAACTCTGTACGACGATTTTTCTAAGTAGAATTTTCCTTTAAAAAAAAAGTGTTTCAGACCGAAAAAAATGAATATCTCGGAAACTTATTGATTTTTTTATCTAAACAAATTTTAGGTTATTTAAGACACAGAAAGGTATACTTTTACTAAATTTCGTCAAAATTAAATTATTTTTGCGGAAATGAAATAAAAAATAAAAAATCAGAAAAAAAAACGTTTTTGGCATTTTTCTTGGAAATTTTAAGGTTGTCTTTAAAAGTGACTGCTACGAAAGTTGTAGATTTTTGCATGATCTACAACTTTTGTATTGGATACTTTTTTGTTTGACGTCAACTTTCGCCAGAAATCCCAATTTTTCACAACATTTCAACCCCCCAAATCAACCCTCCGCCACCCCTGCCTACGCATTTATTTTTTTTACGTTTATTATAAGCCCCTTTACCATTTCCACTTATAAAAGACAAAGTAACAATTTTCTTTTTTTTTCCCCCTAAATGAGTCAATTCGATTGGTCTATTAGGGAAGATATACACGGAAGATGCATTCATTAGAAATACTCACAACGACATTGTTCCACTGATTAAGTTTGATAGGAAGGTCCCTGTAAGACTGAATCCATTTGGCGTAGGCTGGATACATTACCGTTTCGGAAGTTGGTCTAACGGCGACTGGTTCTGCCATTTCCGATTCTCCAGATTTTGTTACCCAGGCTACCTATACGGAGAAAAATTAGTATGCATGTAAAACAATAAACAAAAAAGAAACAAATTTTTATGGATCCAAAAATAACTGCCGATATTTTTTTACCTCTGGTGCAAAATCCGCTATGTGAGTCTTTTCCGTTTCCAGGACCCTCTTCGAAACAAAAATAGGGAAATAACAGTTTTGGACCCCAAGTTTTTTAATTTCTCCATCAAACCAATCCTTTATAAATTCCCAAATAGAATAAGACCATGGCCGGAAAATATAACAACCCGATACATCGTAGTATTCTATCATTTCCCCCTTTGTGATAACTTGAGAGTACCAATCGGAGAGATTCTCTTCTTTTTTCGCTTCTAGACCAAGTCTTGTTTGTTTCTTCATACCACCGTCTCCCCCCTATGAAAAAAGAATTCATATAATTATCTCCAATTTACAAAACAATGACAAATTTCATATTATTATACTTTAAAGGATTTAATAATTATATTTACATCCGCAGGTTTTTTTTCTTTAGCGGCTGGCTTTTGCTTAGAAACTTTCTCCTTTTGATCCGGTTTATTGTCTTTTGTTTTCGCTGGTGCTCTAGTTGCTGCCGGAAAGTCGTTTCCCGTTACATTTTTATATTCTGCCTTAAGGTCTAGCAAGATCTTAACAGCAGCATCTACTTCATCCTGTAATAAATTTTAAAAAAAGTTAAATCGTTAAATCTTATTTTAGTGCAAGAACTTACTTTACTAGCTTTCTTCGCTTTTAAGTCCCTGACGATGTTTCCTTGTTCTGTTATCTTTGCCGTAAGAGTTTCCTTCGAATCGTCACCCTTGCCAGACTCTTCCTTGGTACAAGAATTAGTGTCTGTCACAGGCACCATATCCGGTTTCCAGTCTTTACCGGTCAGAGCCTTGAAATCCGCTTTAAGCTGCACTAGCTGCTTAACCTCTGCGTCAATGATTGACTTTTCCGCTTTCTCTAAAAATTCGAGTATTTCCGTCAAGGCGTTTAACTAAAATATTTAATTTTTACCTGCTTTTAACTGCCTCACTTTGTCTCCCTGTTGTTTGATTTTGATCAGCAGGTTATTCTGCTCGTTTTCATTTATACTAGTGGGTGCCGTGATGGGTGGTTGAGCAACTGTGCCCGGTTTCCAATCCTTACCAGTCGCTGACTTATAATCGGCTTTGTATGCCAGTAAAATTTTCACTTCGGTTTCTACAGTAGCTTTATCCGCCTTTTTCGACTTCAGATCCCTGACTTTTTCTCCTTGAGCCGCTATCATTTGAAGTATGGTGTTTTCATCTGCTTGAGTATGTTTTTCTTGTGACTGATTTGAGGAAGACGACGGCACTGCACCTGGTTTCCAATCCTTGCCTAAATAAAGCAATAAATACGTCTAATAATACATTCACGTTCACACTAATATTACCTGTCAGGGATTTATATTCAGTCTTAAGAGACAAAAGGCTCTTCACTTCGGCCTCTATCTCTGCTTTGGTCGCTTTTTTCGCTTTCAAATCTCTGACCTTGTCGCCTTGAGAAGCGATTTTTTGTAAAATACCACTCTCGTCAGTAGAGCTACTTTCTTGTTTGACAGGAGCAACGGGAGCTGCAACCGCATCAGGTGTCCAATCTTTACCCGTTAGTTGTTTATATTCGCTTTTTAAATTTAGCAACACTTTTACTTCACCCTCTATTACTGACTTTTCGGCTTTTTCAGATTTGATCTTCCTAACCTAAAATAATGGAGTGCAAGGTAATAAGTAAATATAATAAGACCTTTTAATAAGGATATATTATAAATTGTAAAATCACAACAAAAGTAACTAAAAAAATTACATACTTTTTCCCCTTGAGCTGCTATTTTGGCACTCAAACCATTAGCGTCTTGAACTGGCCCATTTGAAGGAGGTGCAGTTGGCGGTGTACAACCCGGTTTCCAATCTGTATCGGTAAGCTTTTTGTAGTCGGTTTTTAGGGCCAATAACGACTTTACAGCCTTTTCGATTTCTTCTTTGGCTGCTTTTTGTTCTTTTAGTTTACGAACAATATCACCTTGTCTAATTATGGCAGCGTTCAGTTCTGCCGGTGACTGACCGGCGGCAGATGGTGGGACCGAAGTTTCCTTATTACTCGCCTACAAAATTTTAAATTATGCTACATATATAAAGGAATAGAATAAATACATACAATTTTTTAGTTTATAATTTTTAAAAACGTATTGTAAGTAGGTTAATGTATTTTAAGTGTTTACATTACAAAAATAAATAAATAAACAAACAAAAATAACAAAATAGTATTATTAATACTGTAAATTAAAACAAACCTTGAATAAAACTGCTGAAATATAAATTATTAACTTGTTATAGGTTTAATAAAAAATCCAATTCAGCTACACTTTCGTCAAATTTACTTTCACTACAGTTCAATGTGAACTGGTTAATAATGATAGTAGGTAAAAGGATAATAATCATCAACTTTCTATTACCTATTTAAAATGTAAGGTTGTTGAATAAAAAATTTAGGTAGGATCAAACAAATTAACAATTCAAATTGGGGTTTTTAAAAATTTATAATTTACAAAGTAAATTTTTTTGTTTTTCAAAAAACTTCAGGAACAAGTCTACTAAAAGTGAATGATAATTAATTAATTAAATTAATGATAATGATACAGTGTATCCCAAAATGATCAATGAATAAAATTCATTTTTTTCCAGTTGAAACAGGTCAATTAGTAAATAGAAATTGTCACTTTCGTGGAATATTTATTATTTTTTTTTCAGACATGTTTGGCAGATCTACAACATTACTGATATATTTTTTTAATAGGACGCTCTATATTTTATAGTATACAGGGTGTGCCATTAGTATGAGAAAGTAAAATAACTCCCTTGTTACTCATAATACAGAAAAAAAGTTTATATAATAGTTGTACAGAATCAAAAAACCTAAAGGATAAAATTAATTTCAAACACACAGGGCGATAAGTAAAAACAGGACACACCAAATATTCCATTGGAACACCCTGTATATTTTTAAACATATGGATTTCTGAGAAAATTTTATATATGGCAATATAAACAGTTTAACATTTTAGTGCGGGGTTGCCAAGTTATGTAGAAAATTCTTCGAATTTTGGGAAAAAATATGACCGAACAAGTTGTATTAACTACTAACACTTGGAGCAAAAATATCTGACAGAGTTATAGGCAAATGCCAGGCAAAGTCTCCTATATTAGCTAATATCGATATTTTATACAGGGCATTTTTTATAATACGATCATTTTAAGAAAGTTCAAAATTGATTTTCTAAATTTTTATTGTTCTATTTTATTCACATATCAGTCCACTTCAACTTTTATTAAATATATTCTACACCTAAAGTTATTAGTTTTTAAGATATAGCAACATTTCTGGAAAAACCTAATTTTTATTATTTTCGGTCGCACGAAATGGAAAAACAAGATGATGCCCCTCCACATTTTCGCCTCAATGTAAGAAATTACCTTCATGCAGTTTTCCCAAATCGATGGATAGGCAGAAGAGGGTCGCTTGAATGAATTAATCCCACTAGATTTCTTTTTTGTGGGGTTATCCAAAAAGCAAAGTATATGTGAACAGACCTCAGACTATCGAGGGATTGAAAAATCATATCAGAGAAGAAGTTCGAAACATAACACCAAATGTTATTCAAATTGTAATTGATAACTTTGAACACCGAATTGGGCACTGAGCAATGGTTAATGGGGGCCGCAATGAACATTTGCTGTAATAAAATAAAAAGTAGTACTAAATTATCGTTTTCATTTAATTCTTTTTTTGACAAAAAAGTAGGTATAACCTTATATCGCGGAATTTGTCTTTAGAAGAGCGATCTATTTATACTATCAAATATAGAGCGTCCTATTAAAAAAAAAGTGTCGGTAATGTTATAGGTCTGTTAAACATGGCTTAAAAAAATGGAAAATATTGCAGAAAAGTGACACAATTTCTATTTATTAATTGACATGTTTCAGCGATTTTTTTAAATTTCAACTAGAAAAAAAAATATTAATTTTGTTTCAAAAGTTCCATAAAATAAATATAAATATTTGATAATCCGATAGATTTGAAATACTTTTTAAAATAATTTCACGTTTTTAATAAAAAGTATTTGTTACTATTTCTTTAAAGCACTGTGTTTAGTTTCTAAATCTCAGTGTCAATGATCCCACATAGTTTTCTTAAGGAATTATTTTTCCCTGTAAAATAGAAGGAAAGTTTGAAGCGTCCCCTTTCAAGCAAACTTTGTTTCATGCATTTTCATCAAGAAACGAAAGCGTAGTCGCACATTTAGAGCAGCGCCGCCTTGGAATATGTGTTATTCTGGATGATTTGCATAAAAATTGTCATTTTATGTAAATTCCTAAATACTTAATACTAAATAACGCACTGTACGAAAAAATCGATAACAATCTTTTTTGTAGAGAATTTTATGCTGTATTTAATCCTTTGCATGTTTGTGAAATTCTCATTCTTTTAAAATTATTCACGAAATACGTTTTTTACAGTCTTCTTTAGTGTTTAGTGACAGTGCAGTGTTTCTGTGATTATTATAGCTCCCAATTATGATAAAAGGTTAAAAAAACTAAAAAAAATTTTTATGACCATTTCCGAATAAAATATATTTATTAAAAATAAAAATGTTTCATCATTAATAACTGTATTTAATAAAAATTATACTCAGCCCCATTATCATCACGTAACACAAAAAACTTAGACCTTGTATTTTTTTACTTTTACAAAAAATTAGGTACAGTAAAAGCAACAATAAGAAATTTATTCGAAGCACCCAAGCTACCGTAGAACACATTTTATGTTAAATACCTCTAGAATTTCTTTTAATCAGTAATATTTTTAATAAGTATACTTAGCACTTACCTTCTTATTTTCTTTTTCTGGCGCAGCTTTAACAGAGGCAGTAGGCTTACAAAGTGGGTTTTCGTTAACGTGACCGTCAGGAATCGAAAACAAAACAACCGATTGCTCCCTACAAGTGCTTAAGTTCAGAGGTTCGTAAGCAACGTCTACTTTAAAGAAACCACGCCTTTGTAATTGAATAATTTCTCCTTTCTTCAGATTTTTCAGTTCGGGGTCTCCAAGCATCTGAACCTCTCTCTGCAAGAAAAATAATATGTAGGAATATCGTAAAACAGTTATTGTGACTTACCCTAGTTTCATGACCGATATACTGTTTAAAATCCTCGTCTTTCCCAAGAATGGCTTTGCTGATAATGTGATCGAAATAAACACACCAAGTCGGCGTAAACGGTGCTTTTTCAACCTCTGCTAGCCAAGTTAACTTCAGAGTCTTCTTGTAATCTTTATTTTCTATGTTAGGATCAGCTTCTATACTGGTAATTTTATCGTTTTCACTAAAAGATAAATAATGCGTTAAATATTTTTAATTTTGTTTTGCAAATTGATTACCGATTAATTTTCTTTATCAACAAATTTCCCCAGTTAATAAACGTTGCATTCTCCCCTTCCTTAAGACTCTCCGCATCTACTCTATCGATTAGAATCTTTGGAGCCACCCAGACTTCCTTGGTACCAACTTCGCTGTTCTTGGGGTGTTTCGGTACGGTCATACATTCTGCCTTGACTCCTTTAACGAAAATCGGAACTGGTTCGTTGTCCTCGACTGCAGTATAACGAGGAGCAATAGGATCTATCACCTGCATAATACAGGAATAAATATTCTGTTTACTAGTTAAACTTTACTCACCTTTTTGTTGAATGCCCAGATTTTGTCCCACTCCATAAAAACTACCGAACGACTCGACCCTTGTGCAATAATGAATTCTTTTAGTCCCTGAACGGTCATTCCTCTTCTTAGGACGCCTCGGACGGTAGGCATACGAGGATCATCCCTATAAAGTGAAAATAGAACCATAGTATTTTATAATCGAATCATACGAGGTTGTAATTATTTGATTACCGTTTTCCCTTAACCTAAAGCTGCTGATGATGTTGAATAAGTAAGGTGTTGGAATTTTGTCCATGTATGATACCGTAACGATAATAAGTATCTTTTTAGATGAAATACTATTTTACATTCGCAAATACTTCACTAACATAATTACTTCACATAGCAAATCAGAATGAATCTGCAATTGTGAAGTAATAGTGGAGTAAAATAAGATTTTGGAAAAATTAGCAGATCGGGTAACTTTTGAAGACACACTTGTGAGGGTGTTAGGAACAACATATAAAAAGTTACCAACCGTAGAGTGTACGCTTGATTATTTATTTAACAAATTATTTAGTTGAAAAATGCCATTGTTTATTATTGCATATCTTAACAAATTCAATTTTTTTTTTTAATTGCGCCTATCGAAAGAATGGGAAATTTTACATGAAAAATGTGTATAAAGTTATTTTCTAAAATGAAAACTGTAGGCTGTTTTGTTTTGTACGAAAATGTGAAGCGTCGGCACTTGCACGCAGGATTAGAGGAGCCCGAGGCCTCGCGCGCTATCCGCAAAATTTGTTATAACTTTTGATCTATTCGATCGAATTAAGTCCACAAAAATTTAAATGAAAGAGGAATCTCGTAGCTAACAAGTCATGATTTTAAAATCGAAAAAAATATTTACAGGAATAGTGTGTAAATAAAGTTAAAAAACTGTAAAATTTTCCACAAAATTAATTAAAGATCTGCCATTTTCTTATTTTTTAAGATAAAAATCTAAAACTTTCAGAGATTACTCTTGAAATAGCATAAAGTAGTGAGTGATATAAAAAAAATGTTAAAATTTTAATTTGAAAAATACAACGCTCCAAATATTCAATAATTAAAAAAAAAGGTAAATTTGATTTTTTAGGTCATGTTTCAAAATCCAATAACTTTAGTTCAAAATATGATATTGCAACTTTACAGGGGTATTTTTTGAAGCTTGAAAACTGTACTTTAACATGGTCCATTTTGTTTTATTTAAAAAAATTCTTCTAAAACGATTAAATTTGTTGTTAAATAAACTTCAATAAAGTTAAACAAAATTTTGTTTTGCTTGTTTTTAACCAATATATCTTCAAACTATGATCTTAAAAAAAGTATAATCAATGAAAAAAATTTTTTTGTTACTATAATGTATAAAATACGAAAAAATACGGTTTTTCAATAAATTGTCACGAGATTCATTTTTTCCTATATTTTTTTCATGATGAATTTATGTAGTAGAAATTTATCTGGCAATGTAATTCATTCCTGTGATTCGAGAATTATATTTTTGAATATTAGAAAGAGATAGAGAAAACATCTGTTCGGTGAATGGAGCTCACTTGGTGCAAGCTACGTGTCTAACGGAGGGAAGGGAGATTGTTGGAAGTATAGTGGTTTACTTTCACAGTTTGCCTTGTGAAGCCAAACATATCTACCACGTGTTTTTTGATTCTCGTCTCATTTTTTATTTAAAAAATATTTGTTTACAAAGTTTTAGTAATAATTGTTATTTATAAATATACAAATTTATAATTTTCTGAGTGAGTTGTGGTTATTACATAAAAAAGTGTATATAGCATGCTCCAATTGTTCCGGAATTGATTGTCTCAATTGCCATGCATTTTTCGAAGAAGAACAAGAATCAGACCAATTGTCAGAACTTACAATGATTCAAGAGAATGAAAATTGAATATTGTTATTTTTTTATATTTCCAGTTTTAATATGCAAATACTTTTTTATGTTTAATAAATTTATTAATTAAGAATCCCATATATTGACTTTTTGCAGAACCCTAAACATCATACCCAAATTTCTTTAAAATTTAACGTTTTAATGATTTGATTTCATTTTATAATTGTTCAATAATCTGAAAGATCCTAAAAATATCAATATGAGTAAAACTGCTTTGAAAATGTAATCTTTACATAAACTATTTAAAAAAGTCGGCCATATTGGATCAGCTCATTTTGAATTTTCATTTTCTGATATAATATTCTTGTTCAGACACCTCAAAAACCCTTATACTGTCAATTTTACTAAATTTACTTTGAAATTTGTAATTTTTATATACATTTTTTTAAGTCGGCCATATTGGATCAGCCATTTTGAATTTTTATTTTCCTATATAATATTCTTGTTCAGCGATTTCGAAAACCCTTATATCAATTTGATTAAAATTGCTTTGAAAATTGTCAGTTTTTAATAAATTGTTTAAAATAAGACGGCCATATTGGATCAGCAATCTGCCATTTTGAATTGTTATTTTTTAACATTATATTCTTACTCAGTGACCTCGAAAACCCCTATAGTATAAATTTGATTAAAATTGGTTTGAATTTTTTTGATTTATTTAAAATAAATCTTTGCAAAACCATTTTTTATTGTTTAAACAATTAAATAATAATTAGCGTACAAATATAAGTTTACAATAAGCCATTTCAAGGCGATTGCAAAAGGTTTTATGAAAATCCAAAACTCTGCTAATTATTCCCAAATAATGCATATTTTTAAGCTACTTTTACTCCACTATAAAAGCGGTACTGAAATAATTAAATTCATGAAGTTATCGAGTAAGTAAGAAATTAAAATACTTAAAATGACTCAAAATCAAAAATTAACAAAGTGAAGCTGAAGAAAAATTTAATATGGGGTCTTGAGGTCAAAACACGAATTTTGCATCTTTTATAAAGTCGCACTGAAGATGTCAACAGTGAAAAACGGCGAAACATTTGGAAGCGTTAGATGTGACCACGAACAGAGGTCACTGTGGAACGTCTTGAAGGACTACCATTGTCGGAGGAGCTGTTCCGTCAATAGCGACTTTAGAACTGAGAACTAAAATGAACATCAAGGCAGGCCTAAGGGTTCTGATAGCAGGTCTGCCCTCACAGAGCATAGCCCGGGAATAACAAAGGTAGCTATGTAACTGGAGTAAATTTGTTCATTATTTTGAAAGTTATGTGCAGAAATATTGTATGTTTTCTAACACCTTTTGTATGAATGAATTTATGCCAAAGAAAACACAATTTATGTCACCTCAATTTTTTGGATGCCAAAATCTCAAATATGTTTACACAAGTCAAGTACTTAAATTTATTATAATCGTTAATTACAAAACTTTGTAGATCTGATTTGCGAGATAAAATATTTTTATCCGAATACTTCAAAGCACTTAAGGCTTCATTGTTTATGATTATATTGATATAACACAAAATAAATTATCTATTAAGGAATCCTATAATATTCCACACGAAATAATTTAATAGAAAATAAATAAAAAAATTACCATCCATCCACTAGGCCCTCGCTGACAAACCAAGTCAACTTCCTTTTACTCAACACAGTGTTCGTCATAGACAACCTACTATATTCCCAGATATAAGGTTTTCGCAGACCCATGGCTTCAATAAACCAGTAGAATTGTGGATCGCGATCGTGGTATTCCATTGTACGCAACGTATGAGTTACTCCTTCTATAGAATCTACTATCGGACATGCAAAATCGTATGTTGGATACACCCTAAAAAACAAAATGTATGTATAAATTCACAAATAAAATGTTACTGTCGACTCATAAAAATATACCCACTTGTATTTATCACCTGTTCTAGGATGTGGTTCGTTTTTACATCGGTATATCGTTGGGTCTCTCAAGCAACCATTAGGCGACTGCATATCTATTTTAGCCCTTACACAGCACTGCTGACCTTTTGCTGTGCCTTTTTTCATTTCCTCCCAAAGTTTCAAATTTTTTTCCATCGCTAAAATTTAAAAACATTTAATCTAATATTACAATTCAAATTTGTCTTATCTCACAGTTGGATCTGTTCGCGGACTCGATTTTCTGTTCTCTTTGCGTCTTCATAAGTTCCGCTTCAGTGTCGTCAACATATGCCTTTCCTTCTCTTATAAGCTTTTCACAATATTCCAGCATCAAGTCGAAATACTGTGAAGTGTGGGTGAACATATCAGGTTTAATATCCAACATGGCAACGTCTTCTAAGATAACTTTTTCAAAGTGAACGTTCTCTTTGGCAGGATTCGTATCGTCAAAACGCATAATGAGTTTTCCCTGGAAGGAATCCTGGTAATACTGGTTTAATAACGCAGCCTTTGCATGTCCAATATGCAAATACCTAAAATATTGTTATGCCATATTAATGTTGCTTGTAATTTACTTGTTCTATTATTTTTGGAGTAATCTAATAGAATTAATGTTATTTGTATTGACAACAAAAATATTAAAATATAAAATAACAAATTTTATACAAAAGCAAATTGTACAAGCAAATATAACTAACACTTATTTCCTTTATTTCGCTATTATTTGTAATATATGTTATATAGCATCTTAATAACTCTATATAATTTTTTATTAGCTGATAACGTATTTATGTATAAAATTTAATCAATATATCAATAAATATTTTCCTTGTTACGTACCCTGATGCTTCTGGAGGAAACCTTACTACGACTTTTCCCATTTCAGCACCAGGTAATTCTACAAATTTACCTTCGCGGGCCCGGTTACCAACGGTGGATTTTTCAACAGACTGCCTAGTTTTTTCTGAAGGTGTTAAAGCAACTCTTAGATCAGGAGTCAATGAATTTAAAGCATTCTTTACAGCTTCCTGTGAATTCATGAAGTTGTACCATCGTAAAACATTTACCGGAATAGACTTGCTTGATAATACATCTTGCCATTGTCTATTCACTAAAAATAATAATATGATCACATACATAAGTGATTTTTAAAAATATTATACCATATAATGCAGCAAATACGATAAAATCAGCTATGGTCAGTCTTTTATTGGCCAAATATGTTACAGGGCCTAATGCTTTGTTAATAACATTAATTGCACTGCTGAAGTCATTTTTTGAACTTAAAGGACCCAGTGCGAACGTCAGCCAATGGTCCACTTCAGTAGTTTCAATAGCTGTTGTACCATAAATTTGTTGGCAAAATAATTTAGCAATTGCCCTTGCCACATCATTGCTAGTTTTGCATGAAATATTTTCGACTGTTGTCTCAGTTCCCCATGTAACTTCAAGAGATGTTTTATTTAAAGCTTTTACATGTTCGGCAACTATTAGGCCTCCTAAAGAGAAAAGATATTATATTTCAGTTTTTCTAAAAATAAATTACTTACCCAATGGAGGGCTTGATTTACTACAAGTAATTTTCATGTCCCTCAAAGTTTAAGTATGGTAAGATGATAACAGATGAACTTTACTATAAATCGTTATTTATGACGAAATACTGAAGAATATTGAATTAACAGATGAAAATTAAGCTAACACACACACTGACACACACAACATCTGTGAATGTTAACACGTTGACATTTATAGGTTAATAAATTTCTTCTTCCTCCTCTCTTAATTAACTTTTTTAATTTTAAAAATATTTCCGTTTACATACACCACAAAACATACAAAGTTATGTTTAAGCGGTCTTCAAACTTTTACGATTTGCGGAACCCCGCCAACACTTCGATTTTTTTTAGGAACCCCCACACCTAAAAAAAATCGAAAACATTTTTTACAGATTATTTAATATATTTATAAATACTACGATTAACAAAATAAATATTGCACTAAGTAAAAATTAAAGACTAAAATTTAAAGTAAATATATTTATTGAGTATAATTAAAAAAAGAGTAAATATAATCAAAGACCAAGCCCGGTCTGGCTCTTTCAGGGGCCGTCGGGAAAAATCGAAAACGAGGCCTATTTGGTTTTGTCTGTTATTAGGGTGCATATCGACTCTCCCAAGAAAAAACTGTCGTATCTCGAATTTGGTTATACACTGAGATAATTGCATTTGAATATTTGAGAAAATAATAATGTTCGTTATTTTTTTTATTACAAGAGCTAAATCGTTCTTCTTTAATAAAGTAATTATTGTTTAGGCCTTAATTAATTAGGTATTGATGATCTAAATAAAATAGTTTAGGATAAGAAAAAAATGGATTTTGAATGAGTTACTATACAGTTTTCGTCGACAAAATTTTTTATTGAGAAACTTGCTACACTAATAAGGTACAGAAAAATTAAACATTTTCTATTTTTAGATAAAAAAATATTTGTTAATGATTAATAATGACAAAAGGAAAATTTATTACGATGCAGAGTCAGTCATCTGCTTCTTGGTCAATATTACTTTCTTCCTGGCGGTTAGTCTTAATACCAGGTCGAAGGGAGTTGCAAAAACCATATGATACATCGGTGCATCAAATTAGCCTTACACAGACCCAAAAGACCGCTTAATTTTTTGCCATCAATTAGCAGTAAACCTTGATACAATTTTGGAAATTGATATTCTCCGCGTTTGCAGTTTTTTGTTTTAAGTCTAGTTCTTTATGATTTTCTCCAAAATTATACACAAAAAATTCTTTATTGGGAGACTTTGGATCGCAGTGGATATCTCTGATTTTGCTGATTTTTACTAGTAATATATTTTTTGCAGTTTTGTTTCTTTACCATTGGTTTAAAAGTTACAAAATCTTCTTGAGACATTCCTTTTACTTTGTACTGTGGGGCAGTAACTTTGGCCATTTTTATTAGACTAATCCATTGATCGGGAGTATATACAGCAGAGTGACGTTTTTTTGCAACTTTAATCACAGCATGCATGCTGTCATTTTCATTCTGCGTATGTCCAATTTCAAGAAAACGGTGTGTTATTTCCAAATCTAAAGTCATTGATGCATAAGCAAACATTGCAAAAACAAAACGATTACGGTTTTGATCACCGCAATTGTCGGAATAAAGAATAACCTTTCGTATGCCATTTTCTTTAACACTTTTTGAAAAAGATCCATAAACAACTTCCAATTTCATCCGGTCCTCTCTTCAATATTTGCTCATGACATACATAGCAATAGCCTTGATTACTGCCAAAATCATACATTGTAAAGTTGTATGTTGCGATTTTACTTTTATAATAAAAATCGCTGACTTCTGACTTGGGCGTTACTAACACCTTCTGCAAATCAAAGCATGCTGTTATTAGAGATTTATTATATTTCGACAATTCTTTATCAATGTCTTTCAGATTTCGAACCGCGATTTTCTTCAAATTATGATTATTATAATCATCATTTTTTCTGGTCTCTTCTTGGGATCTGTATTCTTATAGGCACTACATACGGAATCTCTTTTTGGCTTAAAGCTATATTAAATTTCGAATTCTCTCGTTTTTCCTCCAGGCCCACGGCCTATAGATAAAAGAGTTATTAGTTTAAAGGGCTTACGGTTTGGAATATATATTTATTTCTCCCTTTCTTTCCTGTAGGTACACTTTATAGGGGTATAGGGCAAAATAATAAAATTTGTGTTATTTTTTTTTGACCTGGGAAAATCCCATTTCTATACAAAAGATTCAGTTTTCATTTTTTCATTCTATTTTTCTCTTTTCAATTTACAGTGGCTATATCTCAAGAATTTACAAAAAATTTTCTTATACTTTTGGCGTCTCGTTAGTCGTTTGGGGGCCTATCTTCCAAAATAAGTCGGGTTTTGCCGACGTCCCGACCTGGCCAGACCGGGCCTGTCAAAGACTGGGATATGCTCGAGTATTTTTACATAATATGTTAAAATCAGGTACTATATTGTCGTAAGCTTCAATAACATTTCAAATTCTCCATTAAGAGCATTGCGATACTATTTTTTCGCACAGGCACGTAGTTGCAAATGGCATTAATGCATTTATTGCCTGGTCAGGATAGATTCAGGATATTCCTTATAAATGTCTAGCAAAAAATCAAGAGAAAGGCGACGTAACCAAAGCGAAGAACGCTGCGCCAGCTTATAAGTTATAGGCCGACTTACTTGCACTTGCATAAATAGATCAGCTCTTATAGTAACTTATACGCGTGTAATTTTATACTTACGAAAATAAAAAGTTGTAAGAATATAATTTTTTTGAATTTTGTAATTATCGATAAATAAAATTTTAAATTTTTGACTGAGTCGCGGAACCCCCAGAGAGGTAGAGTGTGGAACCCCAGGGTTCCGCGGAACACAGTTTGAATACCGCTGTAACTGTTATATGTATATTGAAAGGAAAAAAATGTCGAAGCCGAAATTGAGTATTATTTCTTATTTCATAGCTAAATATACACGCAAGATATGTGACAATATTTTTGTTAAAAAAGATTATAATTTATAGTATGCATCTCTGAACTTAAAAGAACAGTTAAAAATACCGAAGTATAAATTTTTTTTATTTTCCAGACTTCGGTCATTCATTCTATTGTAAATATATTAAGATTTAAGAGTATGTGTTTTTCAGATAATCCAAAATATTGAAAATGTATTTTTTGTCACATATTTGTTTTTCTTATTTCTAAATTATTACTAAGGATGTCATGCTTCGTAAATTATAGAAATAATTTTTACCTACCTGCGGCCATTTTTGATAATTATATCTAATAAAATTCAAAGCATAATTACTTAGCTATTTATTAATAATTAATTTAATTCAGTTTACATCACACTATTTTGAACTACAAACATTTAAAGAATTTATTAATTTCATAATCTCTTTAATCCCTTTTTAATTTTACCAAGTATCGGATTTTATATTTAGAATGTATTATAACTTTTCCAGGTACCTACCTGCCTACTTTATAGGCCATTATCAATTACCATTTCCAAGATTTTCTATATTGTGTAATAATTTAATAAACTATAATTACAAATCATACAGTAACTGCCATAAAATTTCCATCAAATAGGTATCAAACATATTTATTTATTTTTGCCAGTAACTTTTGTTTGTCCAAAAAATAAATAGGTAGGTATAAGGACAAACTTACAAATTTTTAACTTACGAGAAAAATGATATTTATTTCATCAGCTAAAATTAAACAGATACTATTTTTTTAAATATGTGGAATTACCAGCGAAACCCTAGTAGCGTTAATTAACAGTACTATACAAAATCAGCAAATATTATTTCTTTGGTCAACTCCATTAATAATATTGGCAAAACTGTACTCTAAATAAAAAATATTAAAGAGCTAAAGTAAAAAATAAGAGTACCATTAAAAAAATCTAATTTTTTAAAGGTTAATAAATAAAATCCAAATGAGCAGGAAATTAACTTAGTTCTTGTTACAATTAGTAATATATTGATAAAAATAAAAATCTGTACTTATAAGGGTGTTTATAAAGTACCTGTACAAACTTTAAAGTTTAAAGGGTGAATTTTTGACTAGTTTTAATTTAAAAAGTGTATATGAACATGGGTCCACAACGGCTTGGTTCTTGAGATATCGATCGTCCAAAAAAAATGTTTGTTTCAGTAATTATTGTAAATGTTATAACTTATTTATAGAAGTAGTTTACTCTTGTAAATGATCTAAAGTTTGTCATATCGCAATACAGTCAATAAAAGACACATTTTTCAATTGTTTTTCAAGAACTCTTAATAATTCAACTTACAAAATTCCAACGCAGGTTGGAATACCTTTTATACATAAAATTGAATGGAGAATAGGTATGTTTAATGAAGCGAATGACATATAGTGCGACACACAAAAGTTATGGTTATTTATTAAATCCAAGTACAACACTGTATATGTGGCGCCCTCTAATATTAAACAAAAAACTAAGTAAATATTTGAGTTTTTCATCATCAATACTCTCAGTTTCCCGAATTTCGTCAAATTGCCATGTTATTGAACAAACATATAATCAAAATACCAAACAAGAATTTTATTTGGACGCTCTGTATCTTAAGAACTAAGTCGTTGCGGACCCACATTCATAAGAGCTTTTTATCTTAAAATTAGGCAAAGATTCACCCTTTAAAGTTTGTACAAGTAGTAATAAACACCCTGTATAAGCCATTTAAGCATTAGCAGAAACAGGAAATATAATTAATAGTGAACTAATGACAGTCTACTACAATACAGGTGTGGTACAGATTGAAGATTTGAAAATATTTCTTTCTCTGACTTTTCTAATAATTTCTGAGGCCCATTTTGTGAAAGTACTCTTTTCATTTTACAAAATTGTAGAAGAGCGAATTGTAATTCTGTTTTATAAAAAAATGTACTCTACAATATGCATTTCTAAGCTTTAGCTATTCATTTTCAATGTGTAGATTAACGTTTTTTTGAATATTAATTTTGGTATATACCCTATGGATAACTAATTAAAGTGAAAGAATAAGTATATTCTTTTTAATTAAAATTAATTAAAATTTTAAACTGGTATTTTCTTAGCCTTATAAGACCTTAAGTTAATACTTAAATCAATTGGTTGGCTTTGAATTGACTTTTTCAGTTATTAAGAAAACAAATGTTTCCATAAATTTCTGAT